CCGCGATGGGCACGTAACTTGTCTGCATTGGTGATCTTAGTTGAATCGCAACACGCCACACCGTTTACAAACTGCAGATCGTTTATTGATTACCTCATAATTTATGCCATTAGCTTGCTGCTTAGTAGCATGATTAACTAAATAAGTGCCTAATTATCAGTAGAGAGGTTACAGATCTATGCTTTCTTCGTAACATAGGACTTATGGAAAAACGTATTACAACAGGATATGTAACATATAGCTTGAAGCGAATTCTTGTTTAAATATATGACAGCATTGCAAGGGCCTAACATCACACAAAAGGGAGTGACGTTTATGGATCTCAAACATGCTAGTGGGGAGATGACCTCAATCCACTCATAATAATATATTTATTCTCAAATAACTACGTTACAAGAGTCACGCCAGTTTACAGGCTAGATCAAATTGTCACAAATGCTTTCACAATTACTGTAAAAGTTATAGCAGTTAAATTAAGTACAACAGTCATTTTCTGATTGCATATTTACACCATGTCACTGACACAAACAGTATTATACAGCCACATTTTCAATAGTAGAGTACAAATAAGGAAGGAAGGTGCATAATAGGTTCTTTTGGCGATTTGCCGAGATCAATAGTGAATTATTTTTGGGAAGGTCAAATGAAACGCGCTTGATACGAGCTGTGATCCAGACAGTCATGTACCTAGGGTGCATGTTCCCTAGAGTTGCCAAGGATTTCCCACCGTGAATGGGGTTCTGAAAATGAGAAAAGAGAGAAAAAGGCAGCAGTGTGGCAAGTGTATATATATAACCAAAGCACTACTTAACCTGTAATGTTGAAGTAGTCAATACAGTAGTAGGTCAAGATGAAATTCATACTGACCACTTAAATTAAAGTAAATTATGGGAATATAAGAATATAACACACAGATAAAGGAGTACAGCAAAAAGAAGGAAGAGTTGTGTAGTGTCAGGTGGATAGAAGAGAAGTCGAAGTAAGAAGCTGGATTTATGTACGTTGAAATCGAAATTCTAGTTGAAAGAGTAGAGTTTGTAAAAATAAAACTTTGATGAACAAAATCTCGCACTGTCTAACTGTATTTTATTATTATTATTATTATTATTGAATGCCAACCTCTAAGTCATACTGTAAGCGCATGTGTAAGAATGTTGCGGGTGTCTCGACAAAATAGCGACCTCATCATAGTTTTGGAAACATGAACCTCAGAAGTAGCAAGCGTATAAGAGCAACCTCAGCGTTACTGATTAGTCGTCTCATCAATCTAAAGAGCCGAAAGCAAACAAAATGTTCTGCCCCACAAACATGGGTTGTTTGAAGTTATCGCCCACACCATCAATGTTTGCTGGTCAGTAACTCCACCATCCCTCCTTTTGTGTTGTTAGGCTCATGTTAAATGTTTAAAAGAAGCTATTGAGTTCTACTTGGTGTTCTATGTCTCGCATACTGTTGAGAAACACTATTTCTGCAAGTTCCTTTCACAAACTCGTCTGGCTGTTACAACTTATGAACTATTGGTTAGGCATCAATGCTATACAGTTAACAGTTATAGAGAAATAGTAAGAATTTTCAAACAAGATTTAAGCATTTAGAATGTAGTGGGGAAGATGTACTTAACTAGCTAAGCAGGAGATATAAAGAGTATCACGGTTAAAAGTTGAGCAATAGATAACACTAAAGGGCCAAGGTAAGTCAATAGCGTGTAAGTGAGAACAGTATAATTGATAATAGGCAATGTGGAACTCACACAGTTGTAAGTGTGAAGAAGTTTAATTAGCCCGTATCTACGTGAAAAGTTATTCATATATTACCTCCGTTCATAACTGTGACAGTTTCTAAACATAGTTTTTAACGTTTTCTAATCTGTTCAGAGTAATCACAAACTACCACATGATTTTATGAAGTGAAGTTAAGAGCTCCCATTGTGAGTTCGATAAACACCTGGCCAAGGACACTATACATTGTTATTCTTTAGCTGTTATATTTCTTTTCAGTGTAACCTTCCATATATACTCACATACTTTCCTGAGCTTCGTAGGGTCTGAATCCCAAAAAAATAAAAAGACACTGGGGCTCCTAATTCTCAATCTCTAATGGCATCCAACTCAGAATGCCGTAGGAATATGTGTACAATCTTCGTTCTTTGTAGCTACTACATGCAAGCGTTTCTGAGCTAACAGGAAACTAGTCACCATAGCTAACAGCGGGACAGATAACAATGTAGGAAAGGTGCGAAAAGAATATACCCTCCTTTCTTGACTTCATTACCACCAGCTGATCTTGTCAACAAAACATATGTCCAGCATATTCTCATACACACAAATTCAGCTCACATTACTGACAGTGTAAAAATAAAACAAGTGAAATACAGGAGAGTGGATCTTCGAAATAATATTTTACGATTATTATTACTCCCAAACAGCCTATAGTAATAAAAGTAAACAGAATATTATAGTCTTCAGAAAAAGGATTGGATCAGTTTGGTGTTCTTTCTACACAAATGGCACGAGATACTTGATTTGAGGTATCAGTGGAACCCCCCCTCAGGTACTAAGGCTAAGAAGGATGAGCTTCCTGAGTCAATAGTTTCTTTTAAACATTTAACATGAGCCTAACAACACAAAAGGAGGGATGGTGGAGTTACTGACCAGCAAACATTGATGGTGTGGGCGATAACTTCAAACAACCCATGTTTGTGGGGCAGAACATTTTGTTTGCTTTCGGCTCTTTAGATTGATGAGACGACTAATCAGTAACGCTGAGGTTGCTCTTATACGCTTGCTACTTCTGAGGTTCATGTTTCCAAAACTATGATGAGGTCGCTATTTTGTCGAGACACCCGCAACATTCTTACACATGCGCTTACAGTATGACTTAGAGGTTGGCATTCAATAATAATAATAATAATAATAAAATACAGTTAGACAGTGCGAGATTTTGTTCATCAAAGTTTTATTTTTACAAACTCTACTCTTTCAACTAGAATTTCGATTTCAACGTACATAAATCCAGCTTCTTACTTCGACTTCTCTTCTATCCACCTGACACTGCACAACTCTCCCTTCTTTTTGCTGTACTCCTTTATCTGTGCGTTATATTCTTATATTCCCATAATTTACTTTAATTTAAGTGGTCAGTATGAATTTCATCTTGACCTACTACTGTATTGACTACTTCAACATTACAGGTTAAGTAGTGCTTTGGTTATATATATACACTTGCTACACTGCTGCCTTTTTCTCTCTTTTCTCATTTTCAGAACCCCATTCACGGTGGGAAATCCTTGGCGACTCTAGGGAACATGCACCCTAGGTACATGACTGTCTGGATCACAGCTCGTATCAAGCGCGTTTCATTTGACCTTTCCCAAATAATTCACTATTGATCTCGGCAAATCGCCAAAAGAACCTATTATGCACCTTCCTTCCTTATTTGTACTCTACTATTGAAAATGTGGCTGTATAATACTATTTGTGTCAGTGACATGGTGTAAATATGCAATCAGAAAATGACTCTTGTACTTAATTTAACTGCTATGACTTTTACAGTAATTGTGAAAGCATTTGTGACGCCTGTAAACTGGCGTGACTCTTGTAACGTAGTTATTTGAGAATAAATGTATTATTATTATTATTATTATTACAACTGCCACTCCCTGGTTTTGATCAAATATTCTTAACTGGAGATTTAGGATCACCCTTTCTCTAAATCTAAGAAATCTGAGTACAACCGCCATTGGTTGGTTCCAGAGACGACTTGGCGCAGCCATTAGAAGCTCTGGACTAACTGAGCATGTGTGCAGTGCCACTGGATAGATTGAGGAGGGAAAAACCTCAAACTTGATTGTTTGTTAACAAATGATCAGCCTCTGGTCGAGGATGTTCACGTCCATACACCGATGGGAATTAGTGACCATGGCACAGTCTAGTTTAACATGGTCATAAACGACACACTCAGGCAGGACGAAAACAAGCCCTACTATCGCTACACCAATGCGAAATACACCTGCATGAGGGAGAGTCTTTTAAATGCCTCACAGCCGCAGGAATGGCGGAGGCTGACAGTAGATGATCACTGGTAAATAGTGAGAGACATCATCCGGAATGATGTCCTAAATAATATACCACAGACACACCACGTACCTGGAAGCTGAACTGTATGGGTTAGGCGCGGCGATGAATGCGCGCTACAGGCGGAGAGCAGAGCCTGACACAAACGAAGGTCTGTTTGAAAGATTCTGATCGTAGTTCTTACTTCGCATTGAGAAACAGCTGAAATAACAGAGTTCGAAGTGATAGGAGACGCTTTCAGATAAAGCTATCTGTCAAAATAGAGGCGAACCCCATGCATCTGTCTAGGTTCATGACAAAAAGAAAACTTACAATTCAGAGTTTGTGTCCTTTCAAAGGTCCGAGTGGGCAAGACCTGACCAGCCTAGAGATGGCTGAGATCTTCAACAACTGCACTGATCTGTCAAATCCGGTACCTGCATATCCAGAGTACTAACCAAACCCAGTGCTGGCTTTCGGCCTGCGAAATATCCGTCTCGCTCCGGACTTAGTGCTGATAAAATTAAGATCCTTGTGTACCAGAAAGTCAACAGGATGTGACAGTATCCTTCCAACAGTCTGGAAAGACAGTGCAGAAGCCCTCAGTTCACCGATATATGACCTATTTTAGGAATTCACTGGAGTTACACCATCACCCATTTAAATGGAAACAAGCTACTCTCTCCCCAATCTTCAAAGGAGGAGATGGGAAGGACACATCCTGTTACAGATCAGTAGCATTTTGACCGTTACTATCGAAGGCTAAACGATGCTGTAGTTGTACACTCTCAATCAACTATTCAGTAAGAAGACTAGCATAACAATAGTTCAGTCAAGTCGGCATGTCTCTAATAATCCAGCAAAATTAGACGGCATTAACGAAATACTCCAAGCACATTCACTGAAACCTGTGAATTTGGCGTTGCTAATGGACCCACAAGAGCGTTTTTCAGGTGTCAAGGTCGTTTTTGTATGCAAAAGGTGAAGAATGCCTCTACCTAACTTTGATTCTATAAAAAACATCGCTGTTGGGAAAGATAACCCAAATAAACTACAGGTATTTAGTTACCTTTAATTTTAAGTCTTTCAGGTTGTGCACATTCTGAAGGGTATCACAGATCACGAAGTTCCACCAAAACAAAAGCATATTCGTGGTATCATTTTAGCTACATTTAGCTGGAGGTCATCGTCATTCTTCTACGACACCGCACTTAAACTCGCCATTTACACTAATCCTGTGGTCTGCTGGAAGTTTCTGTATGTCATCCATAAATTGTTTCGAGATGGACACCGCGAAGTATTGTTTAATATTACAATCGAATAATGTATTTATACGTTGTTCTAGTGCATAAACGACGGGCTTCGTCACGCAACCAGAGTTTCCCAGTTACAATCTGCTTGGGTAACTTTTAGCTATTTAATAGAGCATCATTTAGAGTAACCACGCAACTAAATGTGGATACCCGATCGTGGACTTCTGTCAATTGATAACCAGAAAGATTCGCCTACACAGAAAAGTAACCGTTTGGATTTATTAATTCAAAATGTTTTAGTATGGAATATTACCTGGGAGTTTAGAGCTAACTCCTAGTGAGCTAAAGAGTTGTCTTTCTGCACAATTAGACCACTTGTAAGTCATTTCCAAAGCGAAATATATTTTAAAAATTCAAGAATTGCCTTTGTGAATGAAAAAGTTTATGCCTTATTAGCTTATAATATTTCTATGTCTCATGAAAAGCAATAAACTGAATGGAAATATACTTTACCTAAAATACCAAGTTCTTATCCAACTGCCTTTCTCCTGCTTTTCAATATGCGGTCTCATGGAAGCTAGATATCTCGAAATTAGAAAAAAATTCGGTCAAACTTTGTGGATATGAGACTAAAGACAGTAAACTTTCTAATGGTCTAGGGAAAGCCATGAATTTATAGATGACATTAGGGAAAACCTCAAAGTTTATTCGAAATTCCCTGAAATTTCCTCAGCCGTAATACTAAATGAAAGCCATCATTTTCTAAATATTTTTTAATCATGACTGACCGCTGAAAATAACCGAGGTATTCTATTAACCTAACCTTTCTTCGTACTCTTACTACTTTTATTTCTCTCGGACCTGTCTTGATAGTTTTTAATTAAACTAACGTAGTGTGTGAACTTGGGCAAATGTACATGTCTCAGGTTCAACTTTTCACACAAATGACTGATTCATTTTGACATGTTAAGTTTGCTTTTATCACGATTATTATTACCAATAATAATAAACGGTTACTTTGTTCATTTTCTTAAGATTTCAGTTCAGTGTCGATCTTATGGATATGTTAGAAGAAACGTTACGCTTCAAAGATGTTGTGTTTCTTTCTGTGGAGGGTATCCAGGCCGCTTCATTCACTCCGTCTGGTCAGTGTAAACTTATTCCACTTGTTCAATGTATTCAAGATGCTGCAGCTCTCTATGAACTAAGCGTACAGGTCATCTTTAAGCTTCATGAGTTGTTAGGCAACGGAACGATGTCGGGTCACCGAGAACGCTTCAGAGATCTTCATATTTCTGTGAAGAAATTTTTCGAAAATGTATCCCACATGCAATACTTTCGTTCGTTTGTTCATATACCTTCAATCTCGCAGGTTTGTTAATGACGTATTTGATTGGTGTCAAAATGAGTTTAATTATCAAGACATTTTGCCTGTATTATTTTGCATTCTAACTTGTTAACATATCAACTATGATTTTGATACTATTAATAGTTGTAGTTAACATCTTAAGTGACTGATGTTATTAAATATCTTAGCTTTAGACTTCACTAGATTATTATATATCAGTTGCAGTTTTTCCAACATTTTTCCAAATTTTGTGTCGACTATCTATTTGCTTCATTTCTTCCGTTCTATCAAGAGAATCCTCATAATTTTTTCTTGAAAATCTTAACGTTAGTTGATAATTTTGCAGGAAATAGGTTCAGCTATCTCAGATTTTTGGTGAACTGGTTAGCCTGATGCACGGTTATGTAAAAACAATTTCATTTCCTACTATGAAGTACGAATCCCGGCGTCTATAGGAGTTAACAATATTTCTGTTAGTTCAGTTTCATCATAGGACTAACATACTCAACAAATGTGAAATATAATACAACACTGCACCATATCGGCCTCAATACTTCATAATGCCACAGTGAAGGTAGCTGTAGAATGTTGAGGAAAAATTGTGCTAGACGATGCAATCCAAAAACGTTATTCACTGGCTGAATCTCACATTGTGGTTAACATCACTTTTTGACTTTTCACTATTTTACTTTTGATCATCATGTACTACTTCCTAGGCTGCCGAGCTCCAGGCTAGATAGCTTATATTCCATAGCAGAGTTCTCTTTAGCTCTTTGAATTCATGGGTTAGTATCATAACAACACATCCACCCTGAAGCCCAAAACTTCAAATAGATTTGATGTTAATATTACTTAGTGGTTGAAATATGTATGTGACTTATCATGAAACACACTGCAACAATATTATTTAATCAGCTAAGCTACACTTCGAAATATTAGGAATAGAAATACCTTTTATAATTATCAAATAGCAAGCAGTAAACCATTAAGGTGAATGTAAGATTAAACAGCAAAAGAAGAAGATGAAGCTTTCTGAACTTGAACTTTTGTTACAGATTTAAGTTTTATTCAGTTTTGGGTAGATCGATAGCTACAGACTTCCATTTTTCTAAATATTCAATCAGTATATTTAAGATTGTTCATACATCGGCTTTATTCTTTTTCCTTATTCTTATCACTTTCAGGTTACGACTATTCACTATTTTTGTTTGACAGTTCCTTATTTCATGTATAAGCGTATGCATTTTTATGTTTGTAGAATCCACCAAATTTCTGTATTCAGTCAGAACTGAATGAACATACTGCACTTAGAGTTACGATGAATGACAAACCGTCACTACCATCACCGCCAACATCATGTTCACTGTCATCATCGACCGTAGCACCGGTAGACGAAAGAGACAGTCTGCATTCAGGTGATGAAGAAAATTCTTTTGAGTTGGCTATTGAACTTAATAATGTATCACAAATTAATTCGACCAGGATGTCAACTGAAAAGCAGGTACTAATTAAATTAGGTACTGAAAGCACGGATGTGAATGACAAAACGGACATGTCATCAAAGGAGGTGAGAATGGTGAGAAATTTTCATTTTGTAAAACAAAAAGAACAACTAATGATGGGTAAATAAGTTTATTTTTATATATAAATCAGTCTGTATACGGAATATTTAGAGATTATAAAATTAAATAAGTTAACTCCATCCTGAAATGTTTGTTGTTCTTGTTTTACAAGTTTATAAAGGTAATTTATTTTCTAAAAATTTTCGTTCATATTTTCTTGTTTTATAGATAAGCTATTTTATCTTTGATCGCAATCGTGATGATGCTAACCTATTTTTCACTAATTTGCTTATAAGCTGCTAGGCAAAAATGAATGATAATACGAATATTAAATTTGCTGTTCAGTTGGCTTTTTATGTTGTCTTTCTTTTGCACATCACGCAAGTTCATGTTCTAAAAGAAATAAAAATGAGATATTACTATACAACCGTTTCCTTTCAATGGAATGTTCTAAAATACTAATTTACTGGGTTCTTTTTCTGGTCAAATCTAGTGCGACCAGTGAATAATGAATGGGAATACGTGTAGTAACTCTACGATACCCAAAAATCTACACCAATGTAGAGAAGAAAACACAGCTTTTTACGATCTATACACTTATTGACCTCGTGAAAAATACGTACATTCAGTTACACTTCAGAAATTGATCTGGAAAATAAAAAAGTACAGCAATTAACTAACACGTCATTCAGTTTATCAGTGGGTTTCATAGAACAGAATCTTTATCTTTTATGAAGAATCACTTCAAATGTTGGTTTTTATTTGAACCAATCTGTATATGATTACATGGAAAGTTATCTACGTTTCGTAAAGTTGCTTATAAATTATGAGCTTTCAAATTGCATAGTTATATTTTTAGTGGTACATTTACTATGATAAATTGCTGTAAGTTATGTAAAATACTTCATCCAGTGATTTCTCTGCAAATTAAAAAATCATATAATTATACTTCAAAATGTGGTAAATCTTTAACATAAAAGATGATAGTTGTCAGTATCCATTTCTGTTTTTACTTGGTTATCTGTCTGTGATTTATTGCAACGGAAAACTTTCTAATTTTAAGCTACTTTATATCCGAGACTAATTTTAACTAGTCAACCGTTAAGAAAATCAGAAAAGACTAGATAGCTTTTTCATCCTGATACCGACAACTTCAACGGTAAACATTCGAGACTTAGTAGGAGGCCTTCGGACCTTACAGTGCATGTTTCCCCTTTAGACCACTGATGTGTAGGATCCGCTGGTCATTATTTCAATTAAAAATAACTTGCAATAGATTATGATCCTCTATCGGTGTCATCGAACAGTGACTTCTGAAGAGCCCAGTACCGAAACGAAACAACCATTCAGTCAGTCCCTTCCGACTTTCATTAATTTTCATTATGGGATTGTGGAGATTATTGATTTTTATTGGAATCATGAATAAATCACTGTTAGACCATCATTAAAACCTGGAAACACTAGGCGGCCATTTTGTCTAGCTAAGCTTGACCTGCGAAGTAAAATACGTACTATATATTTATAATTTTATTAAATCTTTACTTTTATATAGAACGTTCAGGATCCCAGTGTCAATGATAACTATCACAATAATAATACTAATAATAATTTGAAAATAAATTGGAACCCGTTTTTGGATAATTCAATCCAAACGAATAACCATGCATCATCGCCTTATCAGACTCATGTAACAGATGAGAAGTAAGTGAATACTATCCTTTTTTTTACTGAAGTTATTTTTCTATCCTATAAATTTCTACTTAGTTTACAGAAGATAATTGTAATATAGCCTAAACCACAATTTAGGCCAAATAACATGAATTCATTTTGTGTTATGGTTTCACTTTATCCGCTTACAACCGTATTCTTATTTTAAAGTGTTTCATTACGATATAATATAACATGAAGTTATAGATGTTGGTGATAAAGAATTAGAATACAAACAACTATCAGGAACAACGAGTTATTTGTGGGAATAGACAAATGTGAGATCGGTTGAAGGTAGAATTCAAAAAGATTTTGAGGAGATAGGGTAGTAATTAGTTGGGATCTAGAAAATATAAACACCAATTGTGTAATAATTATAGAAGATTTGAAGGGAGAATTAGGTTGGTAAGAAACGTGGATAACTGAAATGTTAATTTAGGCATAGATAAAATAACATAGAATAAAGACAATGAAACAATGGTAGTAATAATTACAAGTCTGTTTAATCGAAAATGTAAATTTTCCAAGTTGGTGATTAATATTTGGGCCAAACAAAGAATATCCATCATTTTTTTCTCTTGATAATTTTAAAGGACTGAAAATGTCAGAAATATTCCCTCTGTCAGTTAAGTATCGAGTTATTGCACCTTTAAGTTTCACATTATTTGAAAATTGCCTGAATATGTGAAAATATACTCTTCATTCTGTTCTTCCACTGTATGTGCTTTGGGACGCAAAGGGTTAACTGATAAATACAGGTAGAGGCACTAAGAAAAGAGGACTTGTAGATTTCCGTTTGTTTCGCGAGAAGTTCGTTTCAGATGAGGTGGTCAGCGTTGCTGCTGGATGAGTAATCTTTATTGCAGCGTTTGTCCTGCCGTTACTGATCCAAATAATTTCGTCTCCTGTTAGACGGTGTAGCGAGCAAGTTTCTTTAACTGCATCATGATTAACGCGTTTGTTAGTCTTAGCGTTCCTCTCGATGAATTGCTGTGAGTTTACATCTTAATATCGATAATTTTCACTGAATGTATACTCTTCTCCTATTCTTTCGCTGGGCACAAAGTTTATGAGCACTGTCAAAAATGGTCCATACATTTTCACGTTTATAGTTTCTTGAACTGAAGTTGTTAATTTAGCATAAATTTTATTTCGTCTGTTTTTCCGATAAACAAATCTCCATAGATTATTCATTGAATGTTCGTTGAATTCCAAGATTTAGCTAATAGAACTTTCCTTCATCCCTATGCTTCAAAGTAAATTCCATTTCAAGAAGATACATAGAATGCTTCAGATCATTACAAGCCGTAGGCGCTCGTAAACTACTGTATGATTTGTTCCTCCGATCTACTGATCAGATATACTAATATACATTAGTAGAATTTGAGTTAAAACCACATTAAGCCAATTAGTCGATGATTAAGCTAAAAGTGTTTGGAATTATCATTGTTTTTTTGAAATCCATTTACAGAAAGTAAGGAATCATTAATGGGTTTTTTTTAGAAGTTGTTGATCAGTGAGTGAATGTGTTTTAAGTTTAATCTTTTCAATGGGTTATATCTTTTTTCCGGAGTATATATATTAAATGTAAACGGGAGAATTGGTTTGATTATCGGGTTGCGTTTATTCCTTGTTTATTTAGCAATCTCTCTAGTTCACTTGGTATATTTACTTGTTAAAGTATGTGTGATTGATTTAGGCCTAGATAAGATAATATTTAACTATTTAAGCCGAAGTAGGTAAGAGATGTAAGGTGCAAATCTCTATTCCACCGATACTCAGTCAAATACATACAATTAATCAGTGAATTTCACTTTCATATAGTTTTATTGAATATTTAAACATCTATCTCATCACTCGACGTATGCTTTACCCTAGTGCTGAGATAAACTTTACATCTTTTTTTTTTTGTAAATCCACATGACGTACAAGCATTTTTCGGTTGTTAGCTATTATATCTTTCCGCAGATTAGTGAATCGATTCAGACAAAAATATGCTGTGTATATAAATAATGTAATATTTTATTTAAGTGTCATATACAAAAGTAACATGTTAGTATTTTCATCTTAAATACACATCAGTTGCATAGTAAAGATAGTAAGAAGAGCAACTAGCTAAAATCATTTTAACGTTATGTTTATTGAATTATGACATAGTCTATAATCAGCTGTTTGATGACTACTGATTTTGATTTAACAACAACAACAACACCAATAAAACTATTTTAAATAAGTATCAAAGTCTTCTTATCCTTGTGGTAGATTTACAAAATGGCATTATGACTGGCTTTTAAGTACGGAATTTAATTAATTCAAGGTAACTAACTGTATATGTATGAATTCATCATTGAATAAATAAATAAATTCAACAGTCAAGAATGAGTTGAATATCATATGAAAAAAGTTTCCATACATTATGAATTGATTAAAACCGTTAAATTATAAATATAAATATTGAATTGTTTATGAGTAGATATTACTATAACTAGTTCTGAGGTTAAAATTGGGATCCATAACTAAAATGCATTAATATTTGTTTGATTATTAAATGATATCGAAAATCATATTAAATAGTTAGGTGATGTTGTGATGTAAGAAGATAATTTTTTCAGACATCCATCTTTTAATTACTAACAACTGTTCATAGAGTTTGAAGTGTGTGTATACATGCGTAAGATACTCCAATACCACTCACTGATGATGCAATAATTACAGGCTTGTTTTATTTATCAAAATCTTATCATAGCTCAAGTTAATAACTATGCAACTAATCAATTTCTTTACAAGGCTAAACAATGCTGGTTCACTTCTTATTTCGTTTTACACCTTGGTTTAATCATAATTAATAGTGATATAAATGCTTTTTAGATTTTAAGGTTACCACACTTGTTAATTAATGAGCATTATTTCATTCAGATTCAAAAAAATATTTCAAATGAAGGACTGACTTTGTCTAGACATTCATCGAAAATCGGGAAAACTGTTTCGTCTTATTACGGGGAATACCTAGGCAGTATTTATCCAAGCTCTTGAACTCAAAGCCTTCGGAGCTTATGGCTATCACACGACCTTCAGTTTATTACGTTGATATCCTGTAGTTTATACATCATACTTCTGTTTATTTGTATTATGAAACACTCCATCTCTGTCAGTCAGTTATAATCAACGTTAGAGCCTGGCATAAATGTAGATTGGTTCAAATTTCTATACTATGACGTGAAATTAACAGAATTAATAGCAAATTAATCAAAACAACGTGCTGGCGATAATTTCGAGGGAGACCTAAAGATGTCACAGATATTTACTGCTTGACAAAAGTATTATCAGTAACACCTTTATAATCAAAGATCCAAAGGCCAGTCAAATCAGAAACCAGGAATAAAGGGGTCCGAAGATATATTTGAAAGATAGTCGATGGATCGTCAGTCAGTCAACAACAACGTAGGACTTGGTACATCAATGAAATATGTATACATAATCTTCGATCATCTGTTTGCGTGTTTCACGATGCAAGCCGATTATTGGCTTTCTTCTGCCACTCCTCTTCCGGTCTTCAAAATACTTGATCATATCGTGCACTTCGATCTCCTGACACTATTCTCTCTGGTACTGAATTCTAGGCAACTCACCGCCGCATACTACTTATTATAAATCATATTGTGGGTTACATCTACCACAAGAGGAATAAATTGAATTTCGGCAGTGTCGTATTCTCTGATCTGGATGATCTAAATGATGAAGACTTTTGTTTTAAATGTAAACTCCGATGATGTCTAAAACAGCATTCAATAATGTGTAATTGAATTAGCAATATTTAATTGAACCCAAAAAAATTAAAGTACATTCGTTCTCTATGGTTATTGATAGTAAACTGTAGCAACATTTATCATACAGCTTTGGGAAAATATTTCTTCTCCTTTTGGTAACACTAAAATAACAACTGACTGTATTTTAGCTTATTCTGTTTATTTGATATGGATTTCTGCTGCATGGATGCTTTTGTCCAGTTGCTTTTTTTAGTCGAATATGTAATATAATAAAACTATTTGGTTTCGATCTTCTTCTGTACATGATGGAATATTTAGAGATTAATACAGAATAATTCCAATTCTCATCTTCAACCGATTTCTGAAGTTGTATTACGATTATTTGATGATTTGAAAACTTTCGAAAAGTTTATTCAATTTAGTAAATCATTTACCACTGTTTAATTCAAATAATAATTTAGATCACATGTTACTTTCGTGTACTATCATATTAAAAAAAAAAAATTCATTTAGTATCATTAAAAATATTTCTAATTCCAAGTGTTTTTTATTACTATGATTTCAAATTCATTCATCCAAAGTAAGATGTTCTGTTGTCATTCTATGTAATTAGTTCAGTTCAAGAGCAAGAACAATATTAATTTTGCAGGATAGCATTAATCTGTTGTTTTTCATTATAATTCTACTCTCAACCCAGAATATATTAGCTGGTACTATTTCACTTCAATGTTTGCTGCATTATCTATTAAGTATGTTAAGTATTTGAGTAAATCACTAGTTTGATTGGAATTTTCCTATTGATTTACTTTGTTTCATGTTCACATTATCGCTTGTTTTCCACACGCACATGTGTTATTATTACTGTCTCTGTATTCTTCTGTGGTATTAACCAAGTTTTGAAAAAGAAACTTAAGCCAACAGTTACATTGAATCGAAATCACAATATATCAAACATTGAGTGAAACTGGAAATTAGCACTGTTGAATTCTGACTTAATATCGGAAGTTTGTAATGATAATTGTCAGAAGTGTGTTCATTGTTGCATAGATCACGTATTTGTCAGCAGTTATATTGTCATGACTCGGTTAAGTAGTTATTTTAACTATTTGTTCGTAGTCCTGATAATTTTAAAAGCTTCAATACTAAAGCAATTAACCATTAGAAATCAATATATTACAAGTCTGCTCTTGTATCTTTTTGAACAAGTTGTGTATGAAATGGTCAGCTTATTTTAATTAAACTGAAATTTTTTCATACTATTGTGGTGCGCGCTACTTATAAGTAGTATATGACGCTAGTGTAAACGTAATGTCTGGCAGCAGAAGATGGGGGAAGATCAAGAAAGGAAGAGTGGGAACACAATGGAATTTGTATGAAACGCATGAATAGTGAAATGTCAGACAATGGATTGATGACTGATTGAAGATTTGCAAATTAACGGTTACGATATGGTTTTCCTATTTTACTGAGTAACTCTGTAATTTTCGTTAAATACAATTCAGTTGCCCTCACCTTTGTTCTCCTTCACTACACTATAATCAGTAAAAATAATCTGGAATATTCTTTTTCAGTGTAGTACATAATGGTTATCTTTTAGAAACATTACATGTTTATTATATCATCTACTTAATTGCATGTGTAAGTTTGTGTAAATGTACTTCTTCTTGATAATTCTATATTATATATTTTAACTTTTCATTATTACTGTTCTAAACTATTTTAAAATATTTTGGGGCACAGTTTTGGAGGTTTTTGGTTTTTTACACATTTGAAATCATCAATCAATCCTGCTCCTCGCAGGATTCGAACCCGGGACCTTCGGCATTGTGGGCGAACGCCTTACCATCGGACCACTGAGCCAGCATCCAACGGTGTTAATGTCTAACTCTGATTGATCTAGGGATTTTGCGCGACCTCACCCATTTGTCTTTGGTAGTTACTGCCTACACTCGACAGGGTTGAACTCCATTGGTCACGTCTTCTCAACTAGAACTCCGAGAATTTCCTCACGAAGCTAGTCACTAGTGAGCACTGTTACGATATTTTGGGGCACAGTTTTGGAGGTTTTTGGTTTTTTACACATTTGAAATCATCAATCAATCATTGTTAGACCACCATTAGAAACCTGGAAGCACTGGACGGCCGTTTCGTCCCGGTATGGGACTCATCAGCAGTGCGCATCCACGACTATTTTACTGATCTACGGTATAAATCAACATTCTGTTTTTTGAAAAAATAATATTATTAATGCATAGTAAACACATAGCTCTAAGGATAAATATCTAGGCTGTAAGTGAATTTTGACAATTAATATTTTAATTGTTTACATTGGGTTTGACCGTAATTCAATTATTATTCCTTCATAAACAAATTACTGTTTAAACATTGATTAAAATTTATTTGTTACAATCATTTTAAAGTCTAACAACATATATATATATATATATATATATATATATATATATATATATATATATATATATATATATATCGGCAAAGTCTGTCTATCGAACTTTGTTGAATTTCGGAACAATACTACTAATTTAAAATGCACAACATTGAAGTTCAAATAAATCTATTTTCAGGAAATGAAGAATGGTATGATTATTAAATCGTATCGAACATAACCAAGTATTTAAGAGCAATAATTTGTGAAAACTAATAAATGATTATGTAACTCAATGTCAAAACCTCAGTTATTTAGCGTGTAGTGAAAGATCAAATTATTTAGCGGCAACTCTATGCGTTCGCACTGTCAGCCTCCATCTTAATATTGCATTTGTCAACATTTACTTCATGATGAATAAAAAAAGGATAGATTGTATACTAAAGATTTAATATGATTAATCATGCATTATGTGATATACACTAAACTATACCGAATGAATTATTAGTGAAGGCTGAACAGTATTATATAACAATCGAGCAATCATACCTACAACTCTCATACATAGTTGCATAAACCCCTTAAAGCTACAAAACATTAATATTAACTTAACCTTTTCTAAAACCATTGGGAAAATTTGTCACTTCCAATTTGACCTGCATTAAAAGAGCCTATTGATCCATTTGTGTATCATAATATAGTGTTTAGCTGATTAAAGTACAAGAAGTATGTCTGATGTGCATCTGATATTATACTTGTGCATATGACTTTATCACAAGACCACTACCATTAGATAAGTCATTCAGTGTAAACACTGACAGCTGAGTGACTAACTGACTGACTGTGTTACCATTCTGGCAAGGAATAATATACTGCGCTTGTATAAAACTGTTTGTTCAACGTCTTTAAAAACTCAGGATATTCTTTCCCTTTCTATTTTCTTAAATTTTTTCTACATGGTCTGCCATCTACAGATAACACTTTAGTTAAGTATGCAGGTTATCTCAATGTATGTACACCGATTTTTTCCTCTTCACGTCCCCTTTAAATGAGTGAGTTCTTTTCTCGCAGTGAACAATGGTTTGTCGTAATAGTCTCACATATAATTCTTCTAAATTTTAACCTGAGATATCAACGAGACTTAAACATCCTGCCTTACTATTAGAGATTCTATATCAAAGGTCATTAGTTTTGGCGTAAGTTTTCCTCTGACCTCTCTTGATCTTCTCATCTTTTATTGATATAAAAGAATGTCTTCCATTTGGCCGGTTATGCAAAGAAGAAACGTGCTTTCGGCATACTGGGCATTCATTTTTTCGGCTTGTAAATCCTTGCATATTACCTTTCACTTCCTACTGTTTTCGATTATTCTTTCCCGAACTTTTGAGAGAAGATTTTGTCGTGTTGCGGAGAATGCTGAAGGTGGTTAGCAAGGTGTGTGATCGATCTTTTGGTGTCATCATGATATGGTTGTAGATAGACATTTAAAATCTTGCAAACTTGTGACAAGTATTATCCTATTAGATATTAACCATCCACTCCATTCACATCTAACTCCTCGTACATTTGCAGGTAGAATAAGATACCAATATATTATAGTCCATACACTCAAACAAAGTACAAATACTTTATAATATCTTATCTAACAAATGTACAATACAATGAACAACTTGTTAGTGTTGACCTAATCAAAAACGTGCTTTCTTGAACATTTTGCTAATTAAAAGTTCAATAGGTTCTTATCTTATTCAAAAGCATTTAGTTCTAGATATAGTTCATTTATTTCATGTATATTTGTATGCAGTAATTGAATATAATTATTTTATGTTGTGTGCTTGGATTTTGACATTGTACAATAAAGTGAACCACTTTCACTATCTTACAGGGGGTATTTTCTTTCATGTGGACGAAGAAATAACTTTCTTCTCAAATTTCAAAAAATGTTTAATATTTTCTTATCATTTTTTTACAACTTGTCAACAACATTTATTTGACACAAAAGATAAAAATATACAAGTTCATATTTTTATTTTTTCACAAATAAATTCTGTCGATTAAAATTAATTTTTAGCCATGAAGTACTCATTGAAGTGGAGTTATTGAAGTCTGAAATAGAAAGATTAAAAGCAGAAGTAAGTATCGTTTTTTACATACATACATGGATTTGTGAAAACTTCTTTCTGTTAAAATATATGTAGTCATTTCATTGTTAGGTGATTCTTAAAATAAAAATAATTGGAATAGAGGCAATAGTGAGTGTATTAATCGGTTGATCATTATGATTTTAAAATCTACTGTAGATTACTTGAAGAATGAGGAATTACGGAACATATTCAGTGTTTACCATTGCTGTAACGGTGGATTACTAGACAGGTGTTTTGTTTTCGAATGTGACTCAAGAGTTCACATTGATGACCATACATTAGGTCGAACTTAATGCCATCAAGTTTTGCGGCGGGCGCGTGACCATCAGAACTGATATGTCGGTGATCACTGGTACAACTTCTGTTTTGATCAATCTACAATATAGGATGACGAACAGTCAATTCTATTAACGACAAATAGTTCATTCTCAATATGTTCGATCCCTAGTATGGTCATATTTATTCACTGGTGAGACGTACGGTGCAAAAACGAACTATCTGTCCAGTGTTTACTGCTTTTAGGTGTGATGTAAATTGAGGTCGTTTGGTGAGGAATTTAACGCACAATGAGTGACATCGCAACAATTTTTATGCAGTCCAACTTATCATGCCTAGTACCTTAAAGCTTTCGGGACTAAACAGTAATAGAGTTGTTTGTTACATCATCGTAGTTACCATTGGATTCATTAATCGATTTTCCTTCCTTACATTGAATGTTCCTGTAATATTTTTTAATGAGAAAATCTCTTAAATCATATTTCGTATAAAATGAGAATGTTGGATGATTTATTATGTCTTCCTTTTACTTGTTCTTGTGTTCGTTTAGCACCATGAACAATCGTATTCACTTTTAAATCGTATACGAATATTAGAAGATGAAATCAAAGAACTTGTACAATATAAATCGAATCATGAGGAGGTAAGATATTTCCGAAAATACATTATGTTGACTATTAAACATTTGTTGGATTGTGTCCAGTTCAAAGTCATTGACACCATAGATTAACTTTATCTAGATCACACTTGTACAATGCTTTTGGTTTTCTGTGGGTATCGATCCAACGTCACTTTGTGACTTAAAATATTTTAACAAACTAAATAATCTTTCTCAGTCTTCTATTCAAATAAAAATAACAATAATAACAACTAGTTGTTTAATTATGACAGAATACAAAAGGAATCCCCAAAAGTTCTGTTCAGAAGTCATCAACTTTGGCTACAGCAGTGTTAGAATTAGGATATTTATCACTAAAAGTAATAAATGAAAACCCCTAAATAAACAACTGTAGTAGTGTATGTGGACTATCCGTTACCAGTTCGATGTTTAGTATCCTGGGATCTGACTCCCGTTTAGACGAACGACTAAGTATTCTATGAAATGAATCTTCCATTTAACTTCTACATATCATTCTTAGGCGAACCTTGTTTTTGCGACGCCGTTATTATTAAAAGCCCATTACGGTTTTGCGGATGAATTTATTTCACACATTCGCGTAAGCAGACAGACAAGGTTAGCATGAAATCCGAACGAAATGAAGTGGAGTAGGCGAAGTAAGGTATGACTAACTATTTATTTATGGTCAAAAACAAATAAGGCAGACATGTAATTAACGAAATAAGTAATGCACACACGCACTCAATTAAAAACAAACAAGGTTAGAAGATCTGCGAATCAATAATTCGAAAAGAATAGATTGGTTAGTTTGTTCATAGACTTGAATAAGTCATTTAGGCTGGATATATAATTGCACACTACAGGTGATATGAAAGTGAGATTTTATGATCTTGGGTTCAGTCCTTGGCTGAGCCATAGGTGTACATAGTACTAAGAAACCTCATGTTGGGGTCAAGCAGCTGTTCATTACTTCTCGGTTTTAGTTACCATATAGCAAAAGTCAGATCATAATGTAAATAACTATTTTCAGTTTGTTATTTCATTTATTGCTGAATAGTGTTTCATTATTTATGTTGCTTGAAAACTTATAAAACTTTACAAACCTTAATACTGGTGAAGGTTTATTAATAGAAAACGTTTTGACCCACCTAGATTGTCTAAGGCTTACGCATACTATTAAATTGTATAACGTGAGTTCGGTTTCCATTTATTAAGAAAAAAGCACGAATGTTTAAACCACTGAGTCATAGACGACCTAGTTGCTGTTTGTATGTTCTTTTAGTGAAAATAAAAGTCAAGAATGTCATAAACGAATATAATTTACTCATTGAGTGAATTGATGTAGAAGTTAAAGAAACAAGCATCATTCCCTTTGTTTACTTATCTCATAGTAGATTATGGCGAGCAGGTTGAAATAATGAGTACATTATGTAATCATCATCACTACTGCCTAACAGATTTTAGTCATTCATTCACTAAACGGCACTGAACAAGGGAAAAGCTACATTATTACTGTAACCCCTGTAATATTTCATATCAACACATTAAGAGAGAAAATAAACTTGACAAAAAAACAAATAAGTCAAGATATTGAAATGAATGACAGAAGTAAACATCTAATGAAAGATCTTGTTTTGTTTTTTTTTAATGCAAAAACAAATAACAACAGATGATCAGTGTTTATGAAATGAAAATAAAAATTAAATATTCAGTTGACGATTATTAGACAAGAATGTATCATCACTGGTCTGAACCATTGAGTCTGAATTGCTTGAACTGGTTCAAATCTATTGTCAATAATTGATTTTGACTTATGAATTCGTATTTCCACCTTATCCAACCAAACCAATTGATGATTTTATGATTGGTGCAATGAACTTAAACTGTCTAACTCTATCTACTAGACTTTAAAAAAAAGGCATAAAATAGTAATTTTATAATTAGTCCACTTGATCATATATATTCTTGTCTTGTATGGAGACCACAAAAATAAATAGGTTGTATTCTAGTTTCACCTAAATTTATTTATATCGATCAAAACCGATCAAATATATGCATCATTTGGTCATTGATAATATTATGTCTAGGTTAAAAAAAATTACGTATCCAATTTCTCTGTCCTATTGATTATTTTTAACCATCGAATCGAAAAATAAACTGATGTTTTTGTACGTTAAGCATGGAAAAACATCGTCATCTGATTAATTCTAATGAAAGATAATAATATTCATTGAAAAAAAAGGCAGTAAATATTCAAAGAAATTTTTATGTAAAACAACATTTCGCCAAAAGAAATTTAAAAAATCTACTCTAATGGGAATAATAATGCTTCTTTTTAGAAAAAATTTTATTTTTTTTTTATTCTGAAATATTACTATACATAAATATATAAATCACTTGATTTATGAATAATTTTGAAGCAAATAAAATATGTCGTCCGCCTGCCTATACAATGTTCCATTTGTTGTTTAATCTTGTCTAAATCTGTCGGAAAAGTTAAACATTCAGTAATTTGACTTTTTTTATTTTTTTCAAAAACTGTACAAACAAACATCAATAAGTACGTACGTGCTAAAATATCATTAAATCATAAGAAATTATTTATAAATAATTCAATCGTGAAAGTTATTCTTAAATAAAGTTGGTCATATGATCTAAAAGTCTGTTGAATGTTTTGACGCAGAGTTAAAAAAAATAGATTGATTGTTTCAGTTAAAACTTTTAACCAATAACCAAATTAGCAATTTGGACAGAACAAAATTAATTCATTGAGTTCTAATCAACTGCTTACAACTTGTAATGTCTCAAGGTCAGAGTTCAAAGAAGTTAAAATTACGAACCTGAATTTGTTGGTAAGCTAATGTAAAAACATATTACCACGGTATTTCAAAAATCCTAATCAAGTCAAGAGGTTGAATAAAACATCCTAAAAATATATATTGTTTGTAGAAGACCATTCTGCAACATTGGTAATAACAAACGATAAAAAGGTTGGAAATAAAGGGTCATGTAATAAACAAACGTTAATAAAATGAGTTGAGCCTATCTATTTAGGGATAAATTTGTCGACAAAGTGACGCAACCAAGTGAGTGGGAGAGTTAAAAGAAACTGTACTCAATTATCATTTATGTGAACAAAGCTAAAATGAATGACAAATGTCTCCTTTTTTTTAACACAAATCAACTTTCTGTTAACTGTTCTCACAGTAGGTTTTCAACAAAGATTTCTTGGTGTTCACTTAATATGTTTTACCTCCAAACAGTTTCTAGAAATCATACTACTCAATGTCATTATTTCTTTTAAACGAAGGATTCAGAGAGTGTGTCCAGAAAAAATAAAGGGTAATCCATTCCTCTTCATCTACTAACATAACTTGTTTGGCAGAGCTACACGTCAATTTATACACAAATGCTTGTAACATGAAAAGTGTATCTGGTAATGACCTTAGTTGAGTTAGTAAGCATATTGTTTTTACACAAAGTTATTGTTTTGTTATCAGGTTAGTTTCTCGTTAGTGAAATGTTCAGTGTTGAATGAATGATCGTTGATGGGTATTTTACTTACTGTAACTAATTTGTTATCCTTAGTTTTCTGTGTTTATCAACAAATACTAGTGAATATCAGTTGGATTGTAAACAATTTTTCCACATTTATCAATTCTTCGGAAATAAACTGATAACAGAAAAATATGATGTCTGTTCAACTAGATAATTGGAGAAAATAAATCATTTTCCCTGATGCTCTATACCAACTCACAGGGCAGAGTTTAAATGGTTTGAATTATTTCCGGTTAGCTTCTTTTAAGCGAGTTGATTGTCTACAGGATGGGGTCTTTAACCCCATTCCCAACCCTCCTCTTTTATCCGGTCTCGGGGCCGGCAGTAACCCTAGAATGGCTGCAGGCGGCATTGGAGAATGCTTTTTGCGCCTATGGTCCATTAAGATTAACAGCCCTTAAGTTAGTAAGAAGGTTTGTGGCTTACATGTATGGTGTTTTCGAAATTAAAATTTTTTGTACTGAGTGATCTAATTATGAAGCGTTGTCTAGAAAGATAATAAAAACCTCATAATTAAACTATTTGGCTTTAAAAAATAATGCAATTTATACAGTTCACTATGCAAATGCAATTGTGTCATGGTGGCTGCAAAAAGAAAAAAAACACTGATCGATTTCCTTTTTCCTTCACTCATTATTTCTGGGGATTTTTTGTCTTAGTTGTCTAAAAAAAGGAAACTTTGTATGTATATTTTTATTTTTAAATAAACAAATTATTCATTTGCTCTTTTTGTTTATCTGTTCATTTACTCACATCCATGTGTATTGTTTATTGTTTATTGTCTATTTACCGGTGCAGCTTTTAAATGTTTTTTTTTCTTTTGGGTGCCTTTTACCGTTTCGAAAACATACGAAATAGTTTACACAAATTTTTTTCTAGGGTTCATTGTCTAACTGTTTCATTTTGTTTTTTATTACTTTTAGTATTAGTAATGGAAGGACATCGTTATTTTTTTTTTACTAAAGTTTAGGGTTAGCATCTATTAAAAAGAATTTTTAGGGAAGGATGTAGTATAGGTGAAGGTTGTTAATTAACCATGTTAAAATTCGACCTGAAATTCAACAATAACATTCACAAACCCACTGTCTAAAGAATATTTTAATTTCTACAAATGATTAGTTTTAAAATGGATTCTCAAATTTTTAATCAAAACCCGTGTCTGGTTAAGCTTGGATGTATGAGGACCGGAATAATAATAGAGCAATATTTGGGAATTGAATAGCTGCGAAACATGGCCGTTAAGAGTAGAAGATATTCGTAGGTTACTAGTATTCGATCATAGATGTTTAAGAAGCATTGCTCGTATATCGTGGGACAGCCGAGTAAGCAATCCTGTCGTTAAGAAACGCGTACTAGGTAAGAATGGCAGATCAATCGATGAAGTGGTGAAACTTCATCAGTTGAGGTGGTTGGGACACAAGTTGCGTATGCCTAACCACCGACTGCCTCGTCGAGCTTTGTTTTGTAGTGTAGGAATAGGTTGGAAGAAAGCTAGGGGTGGCCAGACCAAAACATGGCATAAATCCATGAAGTCATTGACGAATGGACTTAGTCATGTCGGTAATTGTCGACTACCTGGTTGGGGTCCGCGAGATGATAATAATCGATGGCTAGAGACCTTGAATGACATGGCTCAAAATCGTTCGCAATGGCGCCAGTGCATTTATTCTTTATGTTCTCTCAAATCCTAATATTATGGATTCTTCAACACCTCTAGTTTTTACTTTCTAAACGTATCTCACTGAATCATACTTCTTGAATAATATCTTCTAATCCTAACCTCTCCGATTACTTCTAATACCATTACTACCTCTTCTACTATTGGATTTGAATTGACAATTATATCTCTGTGCTGATGTGGTATGGCGACATGAACTGATGTACTTACGTACGAAGTTCTACGTTGCAACTGACTGACTGACTGACTGGGAATTGAATAAATCTACAAATAATGACTCATCGAATTGAATCTCAACTATATTAAGATATTGTACTGGACGCGATATTTGAATTTTCAAGTCAAGGTCATGGCTGGGCACTTTTGGGCTTTCTCAAAGACTAAAACAGCTGTCGAAAGCTTCATGACATGCAGTAGTTTTTCAGCTGTCTGCTTATAATGAAAACTTACAATCGCCTTATTCCCCTTAGTTTTGCTATATATTAGAATTTTGTGGATATTTTCATTTCGTTTTATTGATTCCTTGTTTAGAAAACATTCCTAACAACCCAATTATTCGTTGTCAATTTGATCTTTCGGTTTAAAAGATGTTAAATTTTTAAAAAAAAAATTGTATTCATATAAGATGAATTTTAGGTTTCAAAGTTAGGGCGCCAGTAGTACACTTGTTCATTTTGAAAATACTATTTCAATATGAACTACCAACCAATATTAGTTAGCTAGAAATATACACTAAGACACCTGGTAGGAAGACTAAATAGGACGAGCAAATACTTCTTTTTCCAGTCACATTTTTGTCTTTATTAGCATATATGTAACGAATTATTTAATAAACTTGCAAACGTGTGAATACAAACGACTTGTGAAGATATATAATGTTTATCGCTGTAAAGCTGCGATTTGATTCATTCTATTTTGTAAAAGATATATGATATAAATACTGAAAAACCTCCACCATGCATTTTTACAAAGAATTTCATGTCAGTGAAAGTGCACATTTTGAAAATGATGAACCGAATTGAAAATTGATTAAATATGGAAATTTTATTTAAATCACGAATGGATCAAAGCTAGACAGCCATAAATAGCCTGAAAGCACTAGACATCCGCTTGAAATATTTGATATTAATCACACTACCCAATGATTGATCAATTGTAAACTGTTTGTCTCTACTAATAGCGGCTCCTGATTAGTGCTTTAGATATTTTTTTCTCCGGAATCCAGTTATTAATAAGCCTATGATAATTTTTAATGTAGAGTTATGACGACTGTTGCGCTTCATAGAAATCAAGAATCTTACAAAGTTAGTCAAGTGAACGAGACGGTCGCTCAGTGCTTCCAGGCTATTAATAGCTTTCTGTCTGTTGGTCTGTATGTGATTTCAGTATAATTCAACATTCTGCACAAATCTTTACTGACAATATATCGACGGCTGGGGGTGATAGAGAATTTCGGAGATCTTTATACGGAGTTTCGGTATTGTACATTACTCATCAATAACTAAGAAGCTTTCATGTCATTCGCAGTACAAATCGTAATTGTTGCTTTTTTTAATTGATACATAATTAGGATTTATTCGTAGATTTTTTGGCACCTTACTTAATCCCTATGAAATCAATGCGACCTGCGTTCAGTTCATAATATGCAAGATCATCATACTCCAGCATTTATTGATTCTTAAATTTATCTATTGATAAAGTCATGAAGTTCATTGGTTAAGCTAAACAATTGTGGCACGCGGTGTTAGTAAAAGAAGCAAAATATAATTGTGTACAATATACTTCATGATCGAATTTCGAATTACGCGTACTTGTTTGAAATAACTATTGTTTGTCGAAAGGGATGAACAAAAGCCAACTACCACCAGTCCAAGATTTCATAATTATATTTTAAACATTCTTTTATATACACACCCAACCAGATCACGTCGCACTAATAAATGGAAATTAACAACTATACATGACTAAGCCAAAGGTGCTTGTGAGTAGAGGAAGACTGTGAATAATAAACCAGCAACTGATTAAGAATAATAAATCATACAACTATAGTTTATGAATTATTCAAGAGCTCAGGATATAGGCAATATATATTATATTATGATTTACTTAGTAATTATACAGTTAAACTGTGTACAACAATAATTCATAAAATTGGATACCCAAGTTAGTATTTACTTTAGTCTTCAGTAGGATATAACACTATCAACCTTTGTTAACTGATACAGCATGGATAAGAGTTACATATTGCTGGCCACATTCCCCATTGAGCAATGTTTGCAATCATAGAATTAGGTTAAACAAAAGCTAGGTGTATAAAGATCAAGAAACAACATCAATTAATTAGATTGTCAATTGTTTATTTAGCTCACACTTAGATGTTTTACCTTGCTTATTCGATCGGTAAGTTAACTACAATCTTTAGTTGACTATGAATGATTTAGCTTGAAAATCTTTCTCACCATCAGCTTCTGTATTCATTCGATATCCTCTTTTCAAAGTCCTGCTTAATGTTAATTTGTACCATCATCCTTTCGAATAATGTATATCATTATTTATTTTACACCATTGTAATTCATATTCTACATACTTCTCATCTTGTTAGTTTTGTGTTCTGGTCTGATTTATATATCTATTTTACATTGTTTTTTAGCAAAACAACTTGAACCAATGAATTTACTTGTAAATAAACTTTTCTACTGTTTAACACCTACATGTCCACTTGTAGTTATTCACACATTTCTATGGAGTTTAGTTTTAAGAATCGAAATTCGATATATGTTTTGCTTTAATAATCATACTTGTTTTTGTTTTTTGTTTTTTTCGAACCTTCAGTGTTGTTGTATGTTTATGTGTAAAATGGAAAAAGAGAGATAAATTTTGTTGTTTATGTGACTGAATAAACAATACGTCACTTTTATTCACAATGTATGTTGTTTTTGTTGTATCACAACGTTATGTTTAAGTTAGTTTCTGGTTACAATATTTCTTATTGAACAAACAACCTTGTGCATTTTGCTCGATTTGTGTTTTAGTTAGATTTGAATTTTACACATACAGCATATATGAATGAGTTTATGTGTAGGTTTTTGTCATCTTGAACTATTGTTTTATGCTGAATATTATGTTTATGTGATTATCGTGAATAACCAGTAAGGACACTTGTTTCACTTCGAAATATACTTGAACTTTATTGATCAGGATAACTTTTCAAAACCTCTGGGAATTGATTCAGTCCATATCGAACACAGGATTAGCATTAGTTTGGGAAGTTTGTTATTGTTTTTCATGATGTAAGTAAGTACATAATACTATATAGTAATATAGTATTGTGTACCTACTCCTACTGGGACAATCCATGTGTCTCTTCAAAGTGGACAGCCTTTACAAAACTCTCATTTTAATGATGATTTAATCATTCAATAATTTGCGATTACCACCACCTTGATGATGCATTAACTAACCATAATCTGTCAATTTCTTTTTCCGTATTTTATCCATATGTTTCTTGTTTTGTATCAAAATATTAATTGTATGAACAATTTGCAACTTTTCCGATCATCATAATACTGAATGTTTTTTTAAATGATACATGGTAGCATTCTAGTGTAGATAAAATGCATACCAAGTAAAGTTTTTGAAAAATTTAGTATATATTTTCTACTGTTTACCTTACTGAATAGATATACTCATCGCAGTAGTTTTTCAACTCTTATGTTTTGGCTCTGTTGTGGTTATTACTTCTCATAGTTTATAAATATCGTTAATTATCTTATCAAAAAGTCCGTTTTTTAAAATATTTGTATGTTTAAAGGACTTGATAGAGACTGAAGATGTATTCTAACGATTCCCTATGACAATTTCTTAAGTTACATGCCGTTTTCTAACCTCTCATCAAATAATCATTACACTTCATAGATTGTCTACAGAATTCACACTATCATTGAATTAAATTGTCAAAGTGTATTGATAGGTTTCATTTCATATGAAATACATGTTTTGTGTGTGTGTTGTCACTCTGAAACTAAAAACTATTGCCACAAGCATGACTTTGAATAATAATTCAAGCTTGGTTGTTTATTTGAAAGACGATTAAAACAACGAGTTTTTTTCTTAATTCTGAAACTTTCCCTTAAATCTAATCGATAGCATTCTCCGTAGTTTTACAACAACTCCATACTGCTTAGAATATTCTTTAACAATTATGTAAACTACACTGTATCGAACAAGTCGCAAAAATATGTGCTAAGATAAGATAATAAGTATGGGAAATAAATTTTAATTTCAGTCAAACAAATTTTTAAAAAAATATGTAACTATTTCAAGAGAAAGAATTTGCCTGATTTATTATTTTGATCGAAATGGCGTTTAACATTATCATCATATTAGCTTAGATATTAGACATTTATAAAGTGAGTTGCTGCACACACTTAAACCAGTTGTCATCTCTTTTGGTTTGTTTATAAGACTAAGCAATATCAACAGCCCATCATCATATAACAGATATATAGGCATTAAATCAATAATACACACAAGTTTTTAATTGGTTATTGAATAATTGTATTCTGAGCTTATTTTTTTTTTATCATTATTATTTTCTAACACTTTTTGAGATTGTCATCAAATTACTTAGTCATGAATGATGATGAGTTTTGTTGAAATTCTGTTATCTAACGAAATTTAATTATTTGTGAATATTCGTTTTCATTCAATGTATTTTTTCGCACTATTTTCCATGCTTCTTTTCTTCTTTTTTTTTTTTGTAGCAACAAGTAAACTATGAGACAAAATTAACTGAACAACTTTGTCAAGCTCAAATGTTTGAGGAGAAATTTTTAAAATTAAAAGAAGTCTATGCTAAACTACGTGAAGAACATGTTGTTCTATTAAAAAATGTATGTTTATCACGTTTTTTATTTTTTCATGTCACATACATATTGACTTCTATTTAAAGTGTGGTGGATACATTACATTTGATGAGTGATGAAAAACATTAGTAAGTTTAGAAATTTATGAACTCGTCAGCGAAGTTTCAATAAATAACTATAATCTATCTATATAATCAGATAAGTTGGAATTAAGATAGTCAATAAAATCCAAAGAATATCGCCCAACCGTAACTGCTACTTTGATGTGGTGGTCGGGCTTGCCTATCGTGATAACCCAACCGAGCTTCATTGGCTGGAACATATGTTGCTGAAGGTTCTACCATGCCAGGCAGGTCGATTGGAGAACGATGTGACTAAAAGCAGCTACTCTAGGTCTGGGGGCGAAGTCGTACTGCTGACTGCAGAGAGGTGTGACAGCAGTAAGGTGTTTCCCTCGGACAACCAGCATCTGCAGCGATGCTGCCTTCTCACAAGGAAGGAAGGGTTAGAAAAGGTCGACCCTAAAAATGTCACACCTCACCCTACCTCACGGATTTCCGTATCTTTGTGTAAGGGTGCCTACTAGGGCTTTTAAGAGCGGAGCTAACACTCAAAAAAAACCTTTCATAAAAAGGCCGTGCGCGACCGGCCTAAAGCAGTTGTGCCTTGAGCTCTGCGGTCACGCTCCCAGGTGGTTCAGACCAACTCTAATCCACCTGCCTTTTCAGGTTCCTCAAGAAACGCCCTTCCATGGTGTTGGCAGCCGGGAAGTGACAACGGCCCTCATACCCGTAACAGCACACAAGACCAACTTGGTCAAAATCAAATCTTTCCTACACCCCCTATTATCTCTCTTATCTCTCAAAGAATATCGCACCAGATTACTATTATCTGCAGTTGTGAAACTTTAAATTTTTATATAAAGTGACTCGAAAAATCGTGCTTTTGTGAGATTTCAAGTTCAAGTTCCTGATTTCTTGTAAAATCTTGAGTATACACATTTTTGGAGAGTTGAAAACCCGGTTGAAATGATTGTCAACAGTTGAATAAAAAAGATTTTTATTGAACAAAAATTGTCAGTAGTTTACTTTCTGAACCTTTTGTAAATGTGAATCCTTTTTGAGTGCCTATTTTTTTTTATGTTCAAATTGTTGTTTATCGAAAAACCTTTAACTCACTCAGATCTCTCTTTCTCCGTCGGTGCATTATTAGTTTTGCTTGCTAGGAGAGATCATGTCTGAATACATCCGCTTACGAAGTATCGTATCTCTTTTCACAGATTTTACACTGTTCATCATTTTGGTTTATACAAAGAATCGGGTGAAAATAAAGAGCATAGAATATTACTTTAAAAGAAGATAAGTGATGCATTAATAAATAACAATGAATTGTATCACAAGTCCTCCCATTGAAGATATCCAGCTTTAGATTACGATCATCTGTTTTATCTTAGATCAATGACAACATAAACTAACGTATGTTTCACTGACATAACCGAGTAGAACTATGTCATCTGCATATTCTAAGTCAATAAACGACTCCTGAAAAGTCAGATGATGAAAGTGTCGTATCCAAAGGCACGTCAACGAAAAATTTCAACAAGAATGGAGAAAGTGGACAGCTCTGTTGAATACTACTTGAAGTAATCGATTCTGATGACAGTTCGCCATAAGCTCTAACTCGACCTGTAGTGTTCGAGTAGAGTGCCCTTATATGATTAATGTACTTCTCTTGTACATTTTTCAATGACATACACTGCCATAAAACCTGACGATCGACAAAGTCAGATGCCACATTAGGGTCGAAGAACGCAACTATAGTCGGATGCCGAAATGTGTGTCTGTGTTTTAGATCCTGGCGAAGCGTGAATATGTGGTCTATACAGCCACGTCCAGGTCGGAAACCGGCCTTTTTTTCTCTAGTTCGCTCTTCACAAGCTGTAGTTAGGCGTCTGTGTATTATCAAGGCTAACATTTTAGACATTATATTAGTTAAACTGATTCCTATTACGTCCAGTTCCCAGATTCTACCTAAGATCTTATTCAATCTCTCTATTAAGAATGGACCATCATCCTTAAAGATCTCAGAGGTTAACCTATCAGGACATGTTGCCTCCACTCGTTTGACATTGCCTATACCGTTTTCAGCCTCACTGTGAGTTGGAGGACTCACACCAACTTGACATTCTGGTTGACTGGCGATCGTGCGTAATTGAAGTGCTTCTAAAGGCTAGTTGAACTGCTCCATAAAGTGTTCTGCCTATCAATCCAATCTCCTGGATTGAGAATGAATAATATGCCAATCTTTTTTCCAGATAGCCTAGCTGATAGTCGGATTTCTAAAACTGGTTTCCTTGATAAGTCTGAATAGTTGTCTGCTATTACTTATCGCCGCTGCCTTTTCCATCCGTCTTCCTTTCGTTACCCACCACTATTCTCGAACATTAGGTAGGTTTCTTACCAGCTTAGGCTTAGGCTAGCTCCGCCCTTCATCATATTTAGAGCCAGATGGAATGAGTTTTCGAGCACCTATCAGTTCGGTAGATGCTACTGTAATTCACTGTTTCTCCCTAACCTTATGGTTTAACTGACCGGCAGATGTCACTGCTGTTTGTGTGCAGCGTAAATCAATGGCATAAGATTTTAAAATCCTAGCTAAGGATGCTTGTTTTCCTATTTGGCACAAGGTTCGAACACTAAAAGCTCCAACATGTAATTTAGCGAGGGGTTTAAGGAGAACTGAAATAACGTTTCATGAACTCGGAACGTTTGCATCAACAGTGCGAAATGACAAAGGAACGAAAGAAGTGTTGGTCGTGGAGATAAGAGAGTTATTAAGGGGTATAAGAAGGATTTGATTGTGACCGATTTGGTCTCGTGTGCTGTTGCAGGTACAAAGGGCGGATGTCACTTTCCAACTGCCTACACCATGGAAGGGTATTTCTTGAGTAACCTGTAAAGGAAGTAGGATTAGCGTTGGTCTTGGAGATCTGTGACCGTGATCACAGAGCCCAAGAGACAACCGCGTGATGCCAGCCACGCACAGCCGTTCTATGAGAATGTTTTAAAGTGCTAGCTCCGCTCTTCAAATGGCTTTTCTACCGGAGACCGAAATTCATGAGGTAAGGTGAGGTGACATTTTTGAGGTCCGACGTTTTCTTATCCCCTCCTTCCTTTGAGAAGGCAACATCACTGCAGATGCTGGTTACCCGTGAGAAACGTCTTAGTGCTATCACATCTCTCTACAGTCGGCAGTACGACTTCGCCCTTGGACCTTTTTTATTGAGTTTAGTCTTACCGTTGTCCAATCGACCTGCCTGGCATGGTAGAACCTGAAGGAACGTAAGTTCCAACCAGTATAGCTCGGTTGGGGGTCCTCACAATGGGCAATCCTGACCACGACGTCGAGACCGCAGGTATGGTCGGGTTGAATGCATTTAATCTTTAATGTAATTGAAAGACACTGTTTATGTTTTATTTTAAGCTGGAGCATTTACTTAGTTCGTCATTTCATACAAAATAAGAATGGAATTTATCAAAACTATTACTCCTTGTCCCATATTCCAATGTGTTTATATGATTATTTTCTGAATGAAAAAACGATATTTAACTTTATTTTATGTGTTCAGTCAGTCAGTCAGTTCATTTTTGCTTTTGCATTGAAAGTAAAACCACCGTAAATTTATTTTGTTCGCTAATCATAAACACCGAATAAATTTTTAATAAAAATGTAATTTTTAGTAAAAATATCAGTTTCATTAAACAAATCAGTTAATAATATGGTATTTATGTTGATTGAATTTGATTATCTAACTGAGAAAATTTTATTGCTGGCATCTTAAACACCCACCCTTATATTTAGAATGAAAGTTGATTATTTTGTTCAGTCTGACTGACAGTCAGTGGTATACAATTTTATTATCCAACCTAAAGTGGACAATATCATTTTGCATATACCATCATTACTTTATTCTTAGTTTCTTCACGTCTGTTCATTTTTGCATGAATATGCTCGTCAATTAGCAAGAAAATTTATAAAAATTGTTTAATTTCAAATCTTTATTTTAATATCAATTAGGAGTTATTATACTTTTTTATTGAAAAACAATACGAATATTCTTGTTAGTTATTTGTTAATAGCACATCGATTTTTGAGCACAAACTGAAATCAGAATATAAAACCTAATGAACTATTTAGATTTTGCTTTGATTTTGGCTTGTTTATTTATATATATAGGATTAATTGGATTTATCTAAACAAATTAATGACATTCAATCATATTCTATAAAAAGATTAACTCACATCTAAAGTCAATTAAAATTACTTTATTACAATCCTCCTCCTCTACCTGAAAAAATATAAAGAATATTTTTAATCAATATTCATACAATATCACTATGCTGTTATAGATAGTCACGCACACTTCTGTAATAATCTATAGATGTAATTCATGAAACGTTTTGTAATGTATGACATTTAAATATAATATCATCAACATAAATTTAAGCTATTCAACATGAAAGTGTCAAATAGAATTAAAAGTTTATCGAAAATCAGTTGTTGATTATTAGTAGATTTAGTTGGATGGTGGCTAGCAGTGGAAACCAGCATACACACCACGCCCTATTTGATGCTCGTCAGATGGATGATATACCTGCATCTCAGAGTTGAAATTCTTTCCGCGAATTAAATTCAACACCGTTCGCTTCAAATGCCATTGCGTTATCTACTTAGCTCAGATGGCCAGTCGCTCATGGGCTAATCAACTCTTGATAATCTCTGAAAACATTTGACTCCTAATGAGTTTTGATTGCACGTTTTCACCTCTAAGTATAGAAACTATTTCAAAGATAACATTTTTACCCCAATAGAAGCTAGCTACACAATAGATATTTAATAAAAGATTTCATACTTCAAAGTATTAATAATAATAATAATTTCCAGTCAAGTTCACATCTATGAAAATGTATCTATCACTGAAGAGTACAATTTTTTTTTCATAAGTCTCTCATATCGAGCGATATTTTCTTTGGAACAAGTAAAAATAGTTAAAAATGTTGAACAACTTTTCTTGTTTAAAGATTAATTTATCAGCAATGTCCCTTTTGCATTACGGGGTTGTGAAGATTGTTAAGTTACACATTTTTGAAACCATGAACCGATCAATGTTAGACCACCATTAGAAACCTGGAAGCACTGGATGGCCGTTTCGTCCTGGTATGGGACTCCTCAGCAGTGCGCATCCACGACTCCTGCACCTCGCAGGATTCGAACCCTGTGGATGCGCACTGCTGAGGAGTCCCATACCAGGACGAAACGGCCATCCAGTGCTTCCAGGTTTCTAATGGTGGTCTAACATTGATCGGTTCATGGTTTCAAAAAATTTCCCTTTTGTTCAATTTGTTGTTGAGTTATAATAAGTATCACATAAATGAGATGATAAGTTTGCCTAATATTTAACAAGTAAACTTTCATTATTTTTTTTTACCAAAAATATTTTGTTGTTAAGACTTGTTCTTTTGGTTTTTTTATTCTTCAAAAAAGTCACTTGCTGCGTACATCATGATTAACTAACATGCACACACTTATATAATAAAATGATGAACTTTTCTAATAGAAATTAGGTAATCATTTCTTCTCTAATCCGCTGATATACAAACAAGTTTTACAATTCATTCAAGTTAACTTACAGCATAAAAATGTAAATGTTTATACCACGTTGTTGAACTGTACTAATTGGATGATCAAATCCATTTAAGTTGGTGTTAATATTGTAGTGAACGAGAACACAGGTGGGGCAACCGAATTGTATTTAGCGAAATTACAGAGTTACTCAGTAAAATTGGAAAACCATATCGTAAATCGTTCATTTGCAAAATATCAGTTCATCATATCGAACCGGACTGTTCCTGTTGCAAAACATCAATCCAATGTCACTGTTCATGCGTTTCATACAAATTCCATTGTTTTCTAACTCTTCCTTTCTTGATCTTCCCCCATATTATGCTGCCAGACATTACGTTGACACTCACGTCATATACTACTTATAAGTAGCTCACACCACAATATGATCGATTATACAACAAGATGAGATATGTTTTGTGTGTTTTATCATCTTAGATTTTCTTAACAATTGTCTCATGAAAGATTGAGTTTATTTTAGAAATGATTTTGTTTTATAGTAAAAGTTCATTCAAACAAACTGCTGACACATATGATTATAAACTTCACCTTGAATAGTACTGATAACATTTTCATTTATTTTTTGAAAACGATGTACAGTAAAAATGTAAACTTTTATTTCTAAAATAATTTTTTATCAAAATCTTTAGAAAAAAAAGCCTAGAATATGTTGCAATAGTAATCAATTCTTATTACTAATTTATCAGTGAGTTCAGTGTATACTAATTCAACTTTCAATTCCCTTAACTCAGATAAATTCTTTTTTTTTTAAATTCATTCAGCAACTGTTCTTTAAATATTTTATCGGAATGTTGATTAGCATTTACACTTGTTTAAGCATTGATTAGTAACCAATTTCATATTTCGTTGGCCTCAATGGTGGTCACATTTCTAATCTATAAAATTACATCATGTTTTAGTGTCTTGATGTTGCTTAGCAATTTATTTCATGATAGCTGACTTGTGACAGTTAGCCGGTAAGCCTAATCACAAGGTCACATTGTTGTCTAACACTCTCCAGCAAATCATATCTGCAGTCTGTATTTTATTGATATGTCACTTGTACGTCATTGATCCAAGCTACCCACTGATACTACAAATGATTTTTACTCTTGTTATGTTTTTTAACCGCTAACTAAAATCACGTAACCAAACCGCCAATCAGAATTTCGCTTTCTATGATTTAGTCTCTCTGGATTGACCAGTTACATGTTCAACTATCACTGGTAACCTTAAGTCAGCCAGCGAACCTTTATTGTTCACGATCCTATAGATTCTCTCTCTGACCTACCCATTGAGTCCAGAAGTCAGTCGTTTTGCCTCTCCTATATTCATATTTTAGTCTTTGAGCAAACAGTGCAGACCACATCACATTATATCATAAAAATAACAATTATCCATGAACAAGTTAATAAAGTGTCTGTGACTAGGGAACTCTCTAAATAAACTACCAACAGATTAGGACTGGTAAATTGTACAACACTAATAAATAGGTCATCTGAAAACTTATGCTAAATGAAATATATGTGTAAATAATTATCTAGTGTCCTAATAATTATCGAATAAGAATATATCTATATTAAAGCATAAGCCAGTTATCAGAGCAACTATTCGTTCACCGCATGTCTTAATTATAACAATACAGCTATTGTAAAGACACTGTTTCCTTGTATGATAAATTAAAATTCTGTATATGGTATAAATTATTTTCCTGTTCTTTATATTGTTTGTTGATTCGCCTGGAAATTCACAGTCCTGCTAGACAGTAAATTGAGTTATGTAATGTCAACAAGTTTTTAGTTAAGCTTTCAGTGGTTCTTTAACTCAAGTAGAATTAGTAGTGTAAACTTTATTTGATTAAATGAATACGCGTATATCTCCTCAGTAAATTACAATTATTGCTATTTGTTTGTTATTTTTCATATAACTTGTAACACCTATTCAGTATGGCAATGTCCAACGAAACTTACAACAAGAAACTCAACAGAATCAAGACTTGATGAAAACAATTGAAGTAAGTTTATCAGTAATATTGTTTAATTTTTTTTCAGATATAAAACCACTCTTTTCAATTATTTTCCATGGATTAATCTTGTGTCTTTTCAAACAAAATATCTGATATGGAAGTTAAGTTAGATTTGTTAGTGAATAAAAAATGTCACCATCAAGTCACAGCTTTAAATAAATTCTTAAACTTTTATTTTCTCTGAGTACTATGATCTTTTTGTTAGCGCTAATATCAATAATGAGATTTACCGGCTATCTTGAAGTTTTACGAAATTTTACAAGAGTAAGTCCAATCCAGACTATTTGGTTAACTAACTGTATACAAAAAATAACACGCTTTTTGTTCCAACCCTGGATACTTCAAAAAGACAATCTGACAAAGATCAAAGAAGATTGGCTTAAGTAAACAATAAACGCGTATAAACTCATGTACAGATAAAATGGCCTTTGGAAAAAGATTTTTCAAAAAAATGTGATAGCGTACTAACTAGATAGCTCAAAAGTTAATATGAACATTTCATTCTTATATATCACGTAAAAAAATAACAAAAACTCAAGTATACCAAATATAAATCACAACATATTATCAGTTGGTAAGTAGTTTTTTGAGATATGTAAAACCCCTTAATAGATGAAATACTGATTATTAACCTAAAATTGATATTTCTCAAATTCCTGTTAATGATCATATTTCAGTAAATTATATCATTTACCCTCTAGAGTTACTCTTTATCTGTTTAAACCTTTCATAACCTTCTTTCTTGTACACACACACACACACACTCACACATGGCTCCATTCGAACTGAAATGCTTTATGGCACTATTCTATATTGACTATATATATATATATATCATGTCTCTAATATATGATTTTGTGCATTTTTATTTTTTTTCAATTAAATTCAGTTTTATCCTTTGTAGAAACAATCATTATCACAATAAATTATTACAATTTGAACATTTACATTGTTTATGTGATTTTACTAGTGATGCGCATTCATCGTTTGTCTATTCATTCATTCATTCATTCGGTTTTTAATAGTGTCATGCATTTGATATTTATTATAGATTGTATTCTGTTGTTATAAACAATCAACTTATAAATAATGTGTTAGCCATAATATTTTCCAATAATATATACATTGTTGTCTAGTTAACAATTTACGAAATATAATCAAACATAATGTAATGCTGATGATGATGTATGCAACATAACATAAATATTTGTATGAAATGAATATTTTAAAATACAGTATTCATCTTATATGTAAAATTATCTATTGAACTGTTGTTCTTGGTTTCATTGTGGTTTGGTTTGGTCCGTGGCATGTGTTTGGTGTTTATTGCGCTATATACAGTTCTGAACAGACACTATTTTACAATTACTCTCATTTCATTTAGTCTATGTAGGAATTCTGTAGCGATTTTCAACGATATCCCTATACACAATCCATTACTTACTTACTTACTTACGCCTGTTACCCCCAATGCAGCATAGGCCGCCCACCAGTTTTCTCCAACCAACTCTGTCCTGGCTTTCCCTCTCCAGTTCTGTCCAATTTTCGTTCATTCCTCTCATATCTTTCTCTATTTCTCGGAGTAATATGTTCCTTGACCTTCCTCTTTTCCTTTTGCCTTGAGAGTTCCATGTGAGGGCTTGTCTAGTGACGCAGTTAGGTGCTTTTCGTAGTGTATGTCCTATCCACTTCCACCGCTTCTTCCTGATTTCCTCCTCCACTGGAATCTGGTTTGTTCCCTCCCACAGTACGTTGTTGCTGATAGTGTCTGGCCAACGAATCCGAAGTATTTTGTGTAGACAACTGTTAATAAACACTTGTATCTTCTGGATGATGGCTTTGGTAGTTCTGCAAGTTTCCGCTCCATACAGTAGAACTACTATCTTGACATTTGTATCAGACACTCTATTTGTAATAATTGTGTTTTTTTTCAGCTTATTATAGAATTGAGAGTAAATATCACTGAGTGATTTTAAAAATGAATTTTGTTGTAGCAAATATTGAAAAAGTTTAGAATCAGCTAATGACTTAAATGAATTCGAATATCTAGAATGCTATGATGGTTTATATAGTGTGATTTGAAATGAGTTCAATATTCTAATTATAAAGTAGTATTTTTATTTTCTTATAATTTAAACATCCAAGTATTTTAGAATTAAAAGATTCGAACAAATGAATGAATAAATGAAATAATTGAAGTTAGATATTTTTCACTTGATAATATATAATTCAAAAATTTCTAATTAAAACAAATGATTGAATTTAATTGTTTTTCAACATTTTAAATGTGTTGATGCACTCTGTTGACTTTCAATTGTTTTATTCATTAGATTTGATACTTACCATTTGTGCCTAAGTTATTTCGGATCACATATATTGATTTCAACACTTTTGCCATTATTGTGTGTTTTTTATCCTTACAAATAGGCTTGTTGTGTTAAAGCATAAAGTAAACAAACCAATAAAAACTGAATCATACTACTACTAGTACTACTACTACTACTACTACTACTATTTCTACTACCATTACTACTATTACTACGAATTAATTAACATATTTCTGTAAGGAATTGTGAGCTTCAATTTTTTTTTCAATAATAGATTTATTATATTGTGAGATTGCCGGAATTTTGATAGAATTCAAGAGAGTAACTCTTCGTTTTTAAAAAATTTAAGAACTAGTTTAAGTGATGATCAATTTTTAAAATGATTCGTATGAAAGAAACTTATTTAATGGGACTAATCCTGTACTTGAAACATAAATAAATTTTTAATGAAAAAAATCCTTATATAATTATTAATTTTTTTTCTATTTCTCTATTAGAATCTTCGTCATCAGCAAATATCTTCATCATTAGAGAAAGTCGAATCATTGCCTGAATCTGATAGTCAAGTTGATCAAAGCTTAGATTTACAGAATCAATTGAATACCTATAAATCAAAATTCGATTCTATAAGCACTGAAAAAGATCAACTCACTGTTGAGGTTTGTATAATTGTTTCCATTTATATTATAAAATTTATTTGATTTTTTACGACGGGTTAATAATATAATTATTTGTTATATAGAATTCATGTGTGTATAGCTGTACTTACAGTGTCATTTTAGTGAAATAATCCTTTTCAGGGTTAGGAAAATATAGAGAGATAACTATTTTCATGTGTCATTTATTTGCATTCTTAAGTGATCGTTTATTATCTGTTCATAAAAATTAGCTAAAATTTAGCTTATAATGAAATGATTATCAATAAATAAAACATTCAATTCATTATGCGTAATAATGATGTTTTTAAAACCATTTTTAATAGCTGTGTTAATGCTTTATATATATATATATATATATATATATATATATATATATATATATATATATATATATATATATATAGTATTATCCGTTCCATTCTATGCGTTTACGTCTCCTATCAAAACAGTCAAATCCTTTGCTCGTCATTTCTATACGACTGACTACAGCCTCTGATATAATTCATCTTCATAGTCTTCGTTGCTGTCTTTGGTGGGCGCATAGCACTGGATGACATTTATTGTAATCCCCTCTTTGTTTTGAAGGATGCTTTGATGATCCTAGGTCCATGCGATTCCTATTCTATTAGTGCTTTTTGAGTTACTTTACTCAACATCAGTGCAACTCCTTGTGTGTGTGTGTGTGACATTTTCTTCCTCATGATCAGAGTATAACAGCATCCCTGGTGAAGCTAATCTTTTTTGTCCAACCAGCGTCCGATGAGTTTAACTTATTGAAAGCGCACCGCCAGGTTGTATCTCTTCATCTCTGCAGCAACTTGTATTAGCATCCTATGTACTACCTGTATTAGCGGTTGCTTTTTTGTCAACAGGGTCATTGGCTTCGTGAATTCCGAAGAACTTCTCCTCCCAATATGAGAAGTCACAACAATTTTGAATGAAGACCTTCCAACTCCGAGGGTAGAGTCTAAATTATTTGAATTAATTTTTATGGTTAGCGTTTTTTTGGCAAGTTGCTTTTCTACAGTATGAGGTTACTAACTCCATTCACAACCAGCCATTGTCGTTTTATATCCAGGCTTCAGGTGGAATAATTGTATTTGTAGTCTGAATTGAATTAATTTATTCATTGATCTAGTTAGATATCATGAAGTACCTAAACATATTAGATTACCAACTAAAATGTATCTCTGGCTCTTGACCGTATACTGTTATCGTTCATTTTTGTTTTTTGTTTTTCTACTTGACATACACATCATTTTATGCATAAAATTATCATTTTCTCATAACTGTGATTTATTTATGCATTGTTTCCAAATATGTAGTAATAATAAATGCTTATTCACTGTGGTTTTTTTTTCATTTTTTCTTATTTATCGCTTTATAAACAAACTATTTGGAGTTGTCTCATGTTTTTATTCAACTACTAAATTTTTTGGATCTATATTTTTAAGATCAGCTGGACCGAATATTGTCTTTTCTCAAAAAACGTAGATTAATATATGACTTCAAAATAATTACTCTACTGTATCACATGTAAATCTACTATTTAAGTAATATCAAATAATTTGATTTCAATTTTATTCAAATCTTGTATTTGAATTGATGTGTTAGTATATTTTAAAATCAGTAAACGTCATCCGATGGTGTATTTCGTCATTTTCAAGGTTTATTTTTCTGAGAAGCATTCCTTCCTAGATTGGACTAAATCTCCGCACGAGAACAGTCTTCAGCCCACTATATGCACTAACTGATTAAGCCAAGAACTAAATTCATATTTGAAAAGTACTAATCATAAAAACATGATAACTCTGGTGTAAAAAGTAAATTTTTTAATGTTCCAGCATATACTATTTATTTGTGGCGTAAGTAGTATGATAATGCTACCTAAAGTTTTGCATCGACTTTATTGTGAATAAACGCAACTAAGTGTAAACTTATCATTTCAGAAAACTGCATTTTATTGCGTTATTTGGAATCAGTTGAGTAAACCTTTATTTTCCGTGTTGATGATATGAAAATGTTGCCTGAACAATTTCACCTTGCTTGTGTTAACGGGGTATGTCAACTTGAACCGATGTAGATATGTACCATCTCCACGTTGCAACTGACCACATGATTAACTGAATTATAAGTTGGATCAGGATGCAGTCCTATGTTAAAATTGACTTTACTGCTTATCTCACTGTACTGCACGTCGGAATTTTAGAAATACATATTACCAATAAATTTTACGAAAATTATATTATTCGGAGTTTGAATTCATCATAATAATTGTACTGCTTTTAAGATTCTTGTTTTTTAATGCGTATAACAGTATCTAAAAGCTATGACTCATAAACAGTACATGAAGAATCCCATTCAGATTAACCAGATAATCTGAAACATCTGTAAAAACCCATTTAGTCAGTTATGGAAGAGTATTAAGATAGTAATGTGTAGTGTATACTACTCACGATGTGGCCTATAAGTAGTATCTAGTGTATATGCAGCGAAGTGTCGCCTTGGAGTTACTGCTGAAGCGATCAGTGTTAGACCCAAATATATGATATGACACTGACATATTTTTTCGAAGACTTAAAGATATGTGGAATAAATCCCCGGTTATTCGCCTCATGTTTAAAGATAACGTGTACACATTTTTCAAGTAAGCTGTATCGTATCTTCTTGATATCTCGTTCACTATATTAAAATGAAATATTCACTCGTGAATTCAAAACCCTTCTATTTTTATTTTTTGAAGCTGATTGGCCATATTAATTAACTCATGCAGTCAGTGGAGATGAAATCTAAAATAAATCAATCGCTTGTTAGTTTGTAGATAAGTAATAATATTGTTTGAAAATTATTATTATTATTATGGTATTCCAATAAATAAAAAAATCAATAAATTAAAAAAAAATAAAAAACGATTTCAACATACATTTTTATGATATGATATGATATGATTATTTTTTTTATTACGTTATCGATTTAGTTTTATCATATCGTGTGTACATCATATAACTTACTTTACTTTACTTTACTGTATTTGCAGTATACATATATATATATATATTTGTTGGTTTGTATGTAAATCACAACACCATACCTTTTGTAAAATGAAATTTTACTATAGAAAAAAGAAAAAAATTATATTTCTAACCATTTATCCATATTATTATTTAGTCTTTTTGTTTTTTTTTATGTTTCCTTATGATTTTGACTAATACACATGATTCTTTATTATCTAATATATGATGTATAGTTGTCATTTGATTGAAATATTTAAAATATGTTTTAATGTTGATCATAGTTGTTTTTAATAATTAATTAATTAAATGTTATATTGTTTGAAAATTTGAACTCTTGTGAACTGTGCATACATTTACAGAAAACGATAACCCATTTTGATAAGTTCATGTAATGATAATACAACACTACTATATATGTATAATATGACCATATTTATTTCATTTACAAATCCCAATCACTAGATAAAAAAATATCTAGTGTGTTTGGCCTGAAAACTTGACTAAATCTTCTTATTAATCGTTCAATTTTTTCAATCAAAAATAACATAAATGTGATAGAGAATCCATTATTGATGATTATTTGTTTAATTTTTTTTTTAATTTCTATGTTTATAATTTTATTGATTAATTTGGTAATTTTTTTCGTTTGTTTTTGTAATTAGATATGTGTATATTACATAACAACCGGAATGTCAAAGTGATGTGACACTTGTATTTATTATTTTTTTGACTTTTAAATGCATGTCTTTTTTTTGTTAGCACTACTGATGAGAATTCCATCAAAAAGTGTATTCTTTATTCGGAAAGGCAAATCTTTTCTCATTTTTAGTAGTCGTTCTTATCTTATAAGTAATTTTTCTTGATTCATTCATGTCTCAGAGAGATTTTCAACTTAAAAAAAAATTAATCGATAGATTGAGAAACAAACAAACATAGTGGACAATCGAACTATCAGCGTATAAAGAAGTCACTGAATGTTGGATTTTTGAGCAATATGAGCAGATGAAGACTGCTTGATTATATATATAATTCACATGGTAATTCTGTAATCAATGTTTGAATGTCATATTAAATGATATTATGAATCAACATCTGTTATAATGCCTAGTAAGATATACAACACTTATTCTCTTTGTTTTAAGATATTGGACTGCCATATTATTTTTCACACAACTTAAGTTACTGTGGCATTCCTCCTACTTTTGGTGGATAGCATCGGTATTGAGAAGACTGAGGCAGGCGCGGAAGATTGTACTATGCAAATTTACACTCTTAGTCAATTAAAAACGAAAACATTACATTGAACACTCTATTCGCACATCATCTTTGAGTCGTGACTTCCAATGCTCCATCCTTCTTCCATTCCTGTTGTTGATTCCTTTACTTCCTGTTGGTACTCCATTTACTTCTTGCTTTTGCTCCATTTGCTCTCCGTTTCCCTCTTCTGACCGTAAGACTTCTTTCATGTCTCTTCTTATACTACTTATATCGTTCGTATAAGTAGCACACACCACAGTATTACTTTAACTCGTTCAATATTCAAATGTTTAATTTCATCTCACTGTTATGACATAATGTAACATCTGTAACGAAAAACTAAGCAATATATATATGATATTTATAGTTATTTAGTTAACAGTTAATACATTTAGAATGCATTTTTTGTTAGTTATAAAGACGTAACTCTTCTGTTATTCCATCATTTTTTATTTAATTGATGAAAATAATCTAATTCAATGAATGTTAATTTCCAGCTTACTTTGATCAAAGAAAAATCTTATTTAAATGATGAGAAACTTTCTGAAAGTCAACAATTATTAAAGAATTATGAAATGAAAATTTCTGAATTGACTAATGAATTAGAAGTATTAAACAATCAATTTCATCGAGAGAAATTATCTCCAGTTAAAAAAGATAACATATCCAACGGAAATATTATTGACAATCATCATCATCATCATAATCATGCTGATAACAATCATGAATTCACAATACTACAGATGAATAAGTTGAGAAAATTAATTCTAACGAATACAATTGAACAGACATTATCTGTGCTACAAACTAATCAAACTAATAGACAACAATCAGATCAATTCACAGAAGTGTATATACATTGTTCTCCAAGTAAGTGGTGAATGCTTTGCTACTGTTTATAATCCTATGAATTGTGATCGGTAACTTTGATTTCTGACATGTAGCAGAAATTGTATGGAAAAAGTATCTGAATTTTTTCTAGTGTTGAGAGTTTAAATTCGGCTTTCGATATTGATAATTTCGTTTATATATACACAATTTCATTGATTGTATAAAGAGCAAACGGTTTACATAGTTCTGGATTCAAAATATTTATTTGTGAAGAATGTTAACAGTGTTAAATGAGGTATTTCTATAGTGCACAATGAATAAACACGATTTGTACGCTTCAAGTTTTTCAAGGTCACATTGGTTTGAAACTAAAGTTTTCCTCACCTTTTTATGTCAAGATATTTTAACTGCCCCCCTAAACTTAATAATTATACAATTTGGAAACACCATTCAGTTTATTGTATTGTATCTAGTTTCCTTATCTATTGATATTTTTGTCTTCATTTGAGTTCATAACTATACAGATGTGAGATTTAAGGCTAAATTTAATTTTCTTTTTTAACTGATGAAATATAGAAGTGGTAAATACACATAACTTATAATATTATTCATGAATCATTTGTAAACATTGGTGATTAGTAAAATTAAATATAGAGAGAGGGGAAGATCAAGAAAGGAAGAGTTAGAAAACAATGGAATTTGTATGAAACGCATGAATAATGACAATGGATTGATGTTTTGCAACAGGAACAGTCCAGTTCGATATGATGGACTGATATTTTGCAAATGAACGATTTACGATATGGTTTTCCGATTTTACCGAGTAACTCTGTAATTTTCGTTAAATACAATTCGGTTGCCCCACCTGTGTTCTCGTTCACTAAATTCACCTAAATTCACCTTCGAAAATCCAATTTCAATTAGAATTCTAAGACTGACAGTCAACAAACAATCAACATACCAGTGTGGATTAAGTTCTTAAGGATATTCTCATTATTTCAAGTAGACCTCCTGTAATTTCAGGATGACTTCAATGTATGGATATTGAATTATTAATTAGAATATGTAAACGGATTGTAAATTTTACAAATTACTAATTCATCATCAGTAAATGAAAGTACATTTTGTATAAATCATCCTTTTAATATGCATACAAATTGTTACTGTCAGCATTTTTCTTTTCACAGTAAGTTAATCAATGTGTTCAATATTTGTACAATTTTCAATTGAATTTCATTTAATTTATCACCATACGTATTATTGATTTTCCATGTGGTAATTTTCTTTGTTTTTTTTTATTCTGTTTTCTTTTTTTTTCATCTTTAGCCTACTTTTTGAATTATTTATCACAAGTAATGAATCATTTTAATTTATTCAAATCTACATTAACCGACTATTTATGCAACAATGAAAGCGGTAATAATAATACCCTAGAATCATTGGTTTTAATTTTTCAAGTTTCATTATTAATTTATTGATTGATTGCTTCTCTGAATAGTGAAATTCATTTGATAATTAATTAAAATATCACTAGTGAAAATGATTACAAGCCTACTCTTAATACTTAGATAACTATAATAATCTGAAGTTCGAAATGGAATGAAATTATTTCCTTTACATTGAACGTGTACTTAGATCACGACGTCTTATTGGGGGGAATAAAGATGAATCTCTGTATTTCATTTCATGAATCACTTGGTGAACATTCTAGAATAAATGAGAACTAATGTAGAAGAACTTTTAGAATAGTCAAAATCAAAACATATTCGATTCATAAAATGGTCCGATGACATAGTGGTGGTAATGGAGTTTGTCCTACAAATATCAGGTTCTAGAATTCAACTCCTCTTCACCTATTTAGTTGCCTATGAATTATAAATAGTTTTCACATGTTAATGTGGTCCAAGATTAAATACATAAATAAGTTCTTGGTAAATAAGTTGAAGTACCAAGTTCTACGTTGAATCTGACTGACCGACTGACTGACTTTCTTAACTTATCTCACTGAATCATACTTCTTAAATAATATCTTCTAATCCTAACCTCTTCGATTACTTCTAATACCTTTACTACCTCTACTACTATTGGATTTGAATTGACAATAATATCTCTGTGCTGATGTGGTATGGCAACATGAACTGATGTACTTACGTACGAAGTTCTACGTTGCATCTGACTGACTGAAATAAGTTGAACCAATTAATTTGTTTTACATTTGTAAATACAAAATATGGTACATTAAACAAATTTAAAATGTTGGTAGCTATGAGTTCATTGGTAAATAAGCCTAGACGTTTTTAATGTAAATGACAATAGTCAAATGAAACACACAACTATATTTCACCAATAACATGCCATAAATATACATTTAACTCCAAATATAATCTCTATCAATTGATGAATACAATTTCATCATCTCATTACGTATCATGAAACCTTAAATATTTCTTACTCAGTTGAAGTATATACAACGAAATCTTCTCACCAATATAATATATTTTTACTCAACATCTTTTAAAGCAGTTTCTTAATTAGTTAGCGATCAAGTCCAATGAAACCTGGATCTATCATCTCCTCAAAATATGGCCGCATTATTATTTCAAATCATTCAAAATACACAGTGATATCATATTCATTAAATTGATATCAGTCAGATTTCTACTTGGGCAATAATATTTCATCAAGCACTAACGGATTACCAATATAACATTGGTTACTATCCTATGACATGCTTTGTTGATGAGTGTCAGGTAGCTTGGTATATCTGTTTACAGTTTCCTGATAGTTATATACCATGAAACAAAAATGTACAAGCGTATCGATTTACTTCATTTAGTTGTCCCACTAGAAATTTATTGACATTGTTGAGTCACCAGTACCATCGCTAGCTTAATGTGATGTTTGTTAGTGTTTTCAGTCAAAAACAGCTGGAAAATAGATCATTTAAACTGGATTTTGGGTTATCATTGATGATATCATAGTGCAAGCTTTATCTGCAAACTGTATTACAATGTACTAGAAGTCACAATAATGTTTACCTTTCATTATATATAGGTCTGTGTAATTTAACTGAATTGATTCAAACTGCATTCTATATTGGTCAGCTAAATTCTGAGTTATCTTTACTATCTCTGTACTCCAAATCGATATGTCAATCAAACGCTACCGGTGACTCCTCATTTGGTAAGTAATTACTTTTGTATTATTCCTGATATTATGTTGAGTTTAATATTGTTTGTGTTTAAATTGTAGCACCTCATATATATTTTGTGTTTTTATCATTGTTGAGCTTGTATGCGCAGTTTGGAATCAATCGTTTAGGTGGTTGATTAGCCAGAGGAATCGTCGTGATTTCTTTTGCGATCCGGGCAATGGATAATCGCCAATAGCTAAAACTTCTGATGGAATTGGTGTGATACCTTGAGAATTTCTTATATGTCCTAGAAATTGCAGTGATTTATTTCCAAACTCACATTTCTCAAAGTTGATTGCGATACCGCGTTCTTTTAGTTTATTGAATAATTGTCTCAGTTGTTGCAGATGTTCTTGCGCCGTAGCACTAGCTACAAGTATGTCGTCGATGTATACATATACGCCTGACAAACCCCTGACTACCTGGTCGATGAATCTGTGGAAGGCTTGAGCTGCATTAGTTAATCTGAAGGGCATTCGCAAAAATCCGAATCGAGTGATCACAGGCGTTTTCGGCATATCCTCCTGCGCCACGGCAATATGGTAATAGGCTCTAACAAGGTCAGTCTTCGAAAAGATCGTTGCACCTTCCATGTCGTTATTAATGTCGTGGATATGTGGAAGTGGATATCTATCAGCCAGGGTTTGTTTATTAAGGGCTCTATAATCTCTACAGGGTCTGTACTGTCCGTTCTTTTTTTGTACTATGTACAACGGAGATGCTCAGGGACTACTGGATAGTCGTATTATACCGAGTTTCATCATTTTGTCGAATTCCTGTTTCGCAGTGTTTAATCTTTCCGGGTCCAGGTGTCGTGGTCGTGCGTTGCAAGGTGCGCCTTTCATTACAATGTGATGTTGCACTGTATGTTTGATATAACTGCTGTCGTATGACACCTTTGTCAAGTCGGCGTATTCGTTTAAGAAGCGATTTATATGGATCGTCTTCGTCTCTTGACACTGCTAAATTCATAGATACCCTGGTCAGTGATTACTCCTCTTACCACCACTGTACGGTCTCTGTACAAGAGTCGGTTTCGTCGAGAATTTACTAATAAGTTGAAATCTTTTAAAAAATCAATACTAATTATAAGTACTGGATACATCTGCGATAATCAACTCCCAGAGAAGCGAAATTTTTCCACCGAAATCCAAAGTTATTTTCCACTTGCCGTATGTTTTTATGCAGGATTTGCTTGCTGCCTTAAGTGTTAGTGCCGTATTAATATTTCGTCGTTCATTACTCAATGGTGGCACGACACCTATTTCTGCTCCTGTGTCTACTAAAAATTAAGCACCAGTTATTTTGTCCTGAATGTAAAATAGAGGACGTTTTTCAGGAGCTGCGCCAGTTGCCGTAGCCATTACCGGCAACCGACGGGATCGTGTCCCAGTTGTATTAACTTTAAATGCACATGGTAATGTACATTCCCGAGCTCTGTTGCTGTATTTCTGGTGATACTAATATAACGTAGGTGCTGAACTTCTGCGAGAGAGTGATCGATATTTGTCGTGCGACCTACTTCGTGATCTCTCTCAGATCTAGCCCGAAAACGTTTTGGGGTAAATTGCGAATCTGTTTTCAAATCTTCGATTTCAGAATTAGCTGAGTTATGCTTAATTACAAGGATGGAGCCACAACTGAAAAAATATGTGGTCGTCCATCTTTCAGTCCCCTATTATGCTCCTCGTGTAATTTTTCAGCTGTGATGGAATCCTATCACCTAGTTCCACTTGATTGAGGAGCCGGTCTAAGGCTTGTTGGTTAGTTAGCTAGACGGCCTTTATTACAGACGTTTTTAATAGGTCGTACGGCCTTTCTGTGTCCGGTTTAGCTAAAACATCGCTAACACTGTCTGCTACTTCATCCGGAAGCAGTGCACACTCGTGGCCGAATTTATCTCGTTGTAAACTAATACGGTTAACTGAGAAGTAACTTTCAAGTCTAATAAACCATAGCTGTGTGTCGGTGATGTTGAAAAGGAGGAATGGATAGATTAAGGGACCTCACAGGTGCCACTTGCGGAAGACTTGCTGTATAACGACAAAATAAGTGATCCACAAAAAGCAACTAATGAATGAGGGAAAGAAAATAGATAGACAATAATAATGTTAATAAGAAATAAAATCTTACAACACAGAACGGACTTACGAAACCACAGCAGTCTAACAATTGTACGCCTGATCACATTACTCGTGATTGTCAGTATTGTCAAAATCTTTTAAACAGCATGAGTGGAATAATAAACGTGTAATGAAAATACGATAATAGTAATCTGCAACAGTAAATAAAGTCCACAGTAATAAATCGAATGGAGACGGAGACGTATTCCTTTGAACTCGTAGGAAACGGCGTTGTGTTCTTTCGATGGGCTCACCAATTTATTTAATGATTGATATAAATATCGGATTTAATTCAAATATATAATATAGTCGATATTGCCATCGAATTATGTAAACAGTTAATCGATAAAGCCAGTCAAATGGCTATGTGTGTGAATGGTAAGTATTGCCCCAAGCATACATGCGCATACAAAGCTTAACAGTGGTAAAAGTATAAATATATACGCGAGGTGCTACAAACTTAATATGTTTTCAAATTCCAGCGATTGTTGATCTGTTAAGTTTTAGCAATAACAAAAATACTCCATAAATGAATTTCTGTATTTGAAAATGTCATTTAATATCCTTTTTCGCGTTTTTAGTAAATTTACATAGTTTATTGGTCATTTTATAACATTTACAATGACATAAATGACTGTATAGGTTAAACTAAATGATTAAAAAATTATATCACATTGGTAGTACTGTTAATTAAAATCAACAGAATTACTTCACATTTTTTGAAACTATGAAGCGGCCGTCCCTTTTGTCCTGTGTAGTGTTTTTCGCAGTCCGAGCAATTTGTTTTGTAGATGATATTTGGTTTTTCTTGTTTTGTCATTTTGTCTTTTGGTTTACATTGGATTGGTTGAAGTGATTCTCATTACGGTGTTGTGAAGATTGTTAAGTTACACATTTTTTGAAACCATGAATCGATCAATGTTAAACCACCATTAGAAACCTGAAAGCACTGGACGGCCTTTACGTCCTGGTATGGGACTCATCAGCAGTGCGCATCCACGACTCCCGCACCCCTCAGGATTAGAACCCGGCATTGTGCGCGAACGCCTAACCTGGGTTCTTATCCTGAGGGGTGCGGGAGTCGTGGATGCGCACTGCTGATGAGTCCCATACCAGGACGTAAAGGCCGTCCAGTGCTTTCAGGTTTCTAATGGTGGTTTAACATTGATCGATTCATGGTTTCAAAAAATGTGTAACTTAACAATCTTCACAACACCGTAATGAGAATCACTTCAACCAATCCAATGTAAACCAAATGACAAAATGAAAAAAGGAAGAAAAACCAAATATCATCCACAAAGTCAACCTGTTCAGATTGTGAAAAACATTACATAGGACAAAGTGGATGTTCTCTTCAGCTTCATCTGCATGAACATCAATTAGCAGTCAAATGCCACGACATTTCTTCCGGTATATCAATACATACAGACAACTATGGAACAATGTTAAAATGCTAGATAGAGGGAGTACAAAGAACACTAGAAAATCTTTAGAAGCTTAGCACTCAGGTCAACCAGCAATCGCAGTCACCAAACTCATTAACATTGACTCGAATTATCAGTCAATCAGAAAAATCATAAACAAACTTGTGATCAAGAAACAGATCAAAAGGGTGCAAACAATGACAGGTTTAAGGTTAATAACAACCATTGAAGATCGAGTTTAACAGAACAAGCTACAGGTCAGACGTGGAGAAATTCGAATGCTTCACTTCTATCTGAAGTTTGTACTGATCATGTTGTTCAGACAAACAATCAAAACTTCACAACCAAAACATTCAACTCAGTGAACCAAACTCCACCACAATTATCTACCTTAGCTACAAATTTTCTCTACCACCAATACTGTCTATAATTTTGTTCTGTGCATAAACATTAGCATTACATAGTACTAAAATATATTCAATAACATCTGATTAGTAAGTAAGTCATCCACATTTCTGCTTTATCATATTAATTAACATTTTGAAAATAACTGACATTCTGTAAGGTTTTGGAATAAATGAGATTATAGAAAATCATTTATTTGTATTTGTTTCATAACAAATTATACAGAAATAAAATTAATAGACTGGGTAAGTAATCTCTGTTATACAATTTGTTTGTTTGGTTATTTAGTTACGACTGCCTTTGTTTTAATTTTTTCATCATCTTTGTTATTATTTTCAAAAAAAAAAAATTGTTTTACATTATAGAATGTTTACATAATGTAAACTCAATTGTAAACGAATTCACACAATTACTTAATGCACTTTTACAATTCAACAGTACTAATCATGATGAGGATATAAAAAATGATAATAAGGATAAAGACATTTGTTGTAATCAAATTAAACAGCATTTATCTGTGATACATCATCAATTAGATTCAATGTCTATTGAATTAATAAATTTATCAGATCATGTATTATCAAATGATAACAGTACTGTTGACATTTTATCATCAACCAATCTGATACAAAAAGAAATGGAAGCCACATTTGATGCTATCACAATGGCTGAACAAAAATTCCAGGTAATCAATCAATCAATCATTTCCTTCTCTTTTTTTCATCAATTTCTGAATTTAAATTGTTGTGCTCACAGTGTGTTGTTGTTCACGGTTCATCAATCAAGTCTCAATGTGGATGATGTTCAAACACAGACATCCAACCAAACCCAATAACTGTCATTTGTAATTGGGACACTTGATTCAAAAATCTACGTTTCTTCTTTTTTTGTTGTGTTAGTTACAATGCTAGATCTAATCATCATCATTCGTTTATTCACCTGCTTATTTTATTTCTACGCTTGTTGATATTCATCAGACATGAGGAATGTTTACAATTCCGACCATCGTTTACTGACATGAAAATCTATTCTTCAATATAATATGTGTATAAAACTTTTGAAAAAAAACATGATTTCACTGAATGACCTAAATCATATACTAATGTCAGACAATATTGCATCCAAACTCTAAGCTTCTAATTTCTAACTTTTAGTGGGAAACGACAGCGAGGGTCGAGGATCCGGTGATACGACATGTTACTCAAATCCGATTATTACAACCCCCATATTTAGTTAAAATAAGAAGACATGATATGAAGTAGAACGTGTATTCTACAAGCATCCAGGAAGTACGAGGTCCGAATCCAGAAGAGAATCAGGATCCCGGACTAGGGATCCGGGGCCGAGCCCTGGTCCTGGTCGTGGTCATAAAACGTTACAAATAATGCGTATTTATATATTTTGGTCGAATAGGAAACAGCATTGAATTCTGTGGCATTGACAGTTAAGACGACCAATAGGAAGTAACATTTGAAGTGACATTGACAGTCCGGATGACCAATAAGAGACAACATTGAAGTATTTGACTTTGACAGTTAAAACGACCATAAATTTGACCAATAATTCTCTTAGGATATTGGATGAATATTAACAACATATATATCTGTTGTCGAACTCAATACCATTAATTAATTTTTTTTTAAAGTTGAGATTTTTTTTGTAAAACTTTAACTTGACCTACTAACATATTCTTTTACTTTTAGGAATTAATTATGGAATCGAAAAAAATGTCAACTAATCATGAAAATCTTCAAGTCAATTCACTTATATTAGATTGTTGTTCGGAATTGTTACTTAGTGTTAGTGAACTAGTGAAACAATCTCAAATAATTCAAAAGGAGTTTGAAGTATGTAGTAGTTAGTAGTAGTAGTAGTGCATTTGTGTGTATACTTTTATTAGTTAGCTTCATATACACATTTATTTCATACATAATAATTATTGTTATCTGATTTGAATTGTTTACATATATGTATGTGTTTATTAGCGGTTAATTTATGTGATTTAAACATTTAAATAGATTTGAACACTAATTCAAACACTGAATCAAAATGTATTATCTATATATTCTATAGTTATCGACTAATAAGTTTTTCAGAGAACGCTCCGAAGAAATGGTTTCGTTTAAAAATTTTCTATTCGGAAGAGTTTGAAGAAGAGCAAAATAAACTAGGAAATGTTTTAGTTGTTGGTTCTCTCCACTGTTGACAGTTTAACTGTGAAGCTTGATTGTCATTCTCAAAAAATCTCATCAGCGCTTAATTCCATATAATGTAACTTATGGAACACAGTACCATTAAAAGCACCTACCAGAGCTACGAATCTTTATCCGCTTTTAGTTATACTAATAAGTTATTTAGATAAGTCACTATTCGTTGAGGTATTGATAAATTGGGTTCTTAAGGTTTATAGTTAACTAGTCTTAGGTGTCATAAGTCCTTGGATGAATATCTATCGGTTGGAGTTTTGATTGGAATAGTACGATAGGATAAACTAATTTACTGTTGTTACATCTTGACTCATAATGCTTATTCACCTGATATCAGTCTGTGTGAAAATTATCTTGGAAATGTTCAATGTAGACTATGAGCATAGGAAGAGTCTTCAATTTACAGATGTTAGTAAACAGTTATACCGGAGAAATTCATACCTTTTTCTACTTATAAGACATGAATGAGGCTTTGATAAGATGGAAATTAACTATGAAAACCACTTCATTTGAATTAACTGTTTGGATCGTCTCATTAATGTGAAGGATTGCAGTTATTCAATCTCTTTTATACAACCATCCTACTTCACAAGTTAGTCACCATCCTGACTTAACAGCTAGGTGGATAACGTGGTGATTTTTAAAGCAACCGGTACTGGGTCCAAGTCCCACAGTGAAAATCTACTCTGGGACACACGTACATTCAACTAACTAGTCCCTAAAAGAAAGTAGCATGAACCATTACTTTCACTTCTATTGTAGTATACGACAAGGCCTTGACCAGATATAAACGAGCAGACAAATTGTTTTTGTAAGATTTATTCACAGTCTTCAATCGTCTATTTGCATTCCCAGCAGGTTATTGACTATCTTTTCTGAAACCTCTTCTGGTCTTCAAAATACTCCTATTACACTGCACATTTCTATCTCCTGACACTTTTCTCTTTGTTGGCCGCCAAACCAAAACGTGGAAGAAATCCATGAAGTCATTGACGAGTGGACTGAATCATGTTGGTAGATGTAGGCTACATGGTTGGGGTCCGCGAGACGATAGTCACCAACGGTTAGCGACCTTGAATGACATGGCTCAGAATCGTTTGCAATGGTGCAGGTGCATCCACTGTTTGTGTTCTCTCAAATTCTAACCTATTCGATTCCTCATCATCATCATCTCTATCTTTCTCTTTCTAAATTTATCTCACTGAATTATACTTCTCGAATCATATCTTCGCTCTCCCTTACTGTTAATACTTCTACTATCGCTATCACTCTTGGATTTGAACTGGCAGTTACATCTCTATGCTGATGTGGTATGGCAACCTGAACTGATGTACTTACGTACGAAGTTCTGCGTTGTATCTGTCTGTCTTTCTTTTTGATAGTAATTTTCAAACGACTCTTCACTGCGTACTACTTGTAAGCCACCTTGGGAGTAACATCCACTATATTAACCGCCGTCCAACTGTACTTATGTGGAATTCTACATTACGTCTTTCCGTTTAGTATTACCATTAAATGTTGTTCAACATTCCGAAAAATGGAAAATGTTGAATGTTTTAGTGAATTCCGTTCAGCCGATAGAAGACTAGCTTATTTGAACCATAATCTGTTGTAATTTTGTCGCTAAATAGCTCAGAAACCTTTTTTCCATTCTTTTAAGCGTTGCCTCTCATCGTTTGACCATGAAAAACATACTGCTTTGTATGTGCGTGATTTCTCTTTACGTATTTAGTCTAAGTGAATGCACAAAAAACAAAAGTTTTTCCATCGTGTTATCGATATAAATCAAATGAGATGTTTTAAAATGAAATATCGATTTCTATTCCTTTTAATTATGAGTAAACATTGCCGTTTATTTTTCGTTTGACAAATCAATACTTCCCGATAACCCTCACGAAATGTTCCTGGGTGAACACTTTAACCACCATTTCGGACATTCTAAAACATATGCACTACGTTAAATCTTATACTATAGCCCTCGTCCCTAATGGCCGGTTTTCATGAACATCTCAAGGGTTGTTAAAGAATACTTTGGCATTTCATACTGAGTCGATGTTTGTTGGAGCTACAAATAAACTTTCCGCTTTTGTCTTCTTAGCTGTTCAGGTGTTTGGTTAAACAACTACTGTTAGTAGTTAAAACGTCTATTTCGTCCGGATTTCGAATTGTGTGTTATGTTTAACACATCTTGAGAAATATTTCTGTGTAATAGCAGTTTACTAAATCATGTGGTATCATTCTACAATAAAGGAAGACTAGTATTTTGAGAATAAACGACTCAGCTGAAGTACAGCTAAAAACAGGAAAACGTGAAAGTCACCATACATTTTTTCAGATATCTAGCTCTATTTGGAATAAATTAATCAACTTGATCTATGTAGGTATATTTCAAATAACTCAATATCTTATGACAACTATATTTTACAGTTGAAGCAAATTTATTCAAAAAAAACGATGCAGAGCACCTTTACTTACTCTTTTTAACGTAGTTCTTACTCTACTTATTGTATCAATCATTCTTTTTTAGAGTTCATCAACATCCGTTGAGTTTTATAAACCTTATAATCGTTGGACTAAGGGTCTTTTATCGGCTGCTAAATTTGTCGGTGCTAGTGCTAATGTCATGGTGTAAGTTATCCTGTTATACTGTACAGTTCATTTTTTCTTTACTTATGAATAGACTAAATAAAATCATAATATGTATACATTTAATCAAGATTCATTGTAGTTATTATTTGTTTAAATGGTGAAAATAAATTTTTGCGGACTTATTGACTTCTTTAAAGATCCAATGTCTGTGTATCTATCTGGTAAGTAGTAGGTTATAATTAAGAAGTTTAGAAATAAATGCAAATGGTTTATAGTTTTTGATAATAAAACTTTGGTAACCTGAAGTAACTACACTAAAATTATTGTTCAACTTCAATTTGATCAATTGACTTTCGGTATTTTATAATCTTTCAATAAACTATCTCCGAAAATTAGCCTAATCAAAATACGTCACAAAATAACAGTGTAATACTGCCCTCCATATTGAAAATATAAGTAGGGCAGCGTTTCCCTGTAACAATTAACATATTTTCAGTTGAAATGAAAAATCATCAGTCTTCAAAATTAGCGTCAACCAATGGTCGATTTTAGAAAAGCAAGAGCCTCAAATTTTGAAGTCAGAAAAGTTTACGACTCCTATGAATTTAATTTGGGCGCTAAGATTGCTCGATTCGTATTATCCAACGCCATATTTTTTCAGTTCTTATTGCTAACTGAATTCTGTCATTTAACTTTTAGTGAATTCAACTGGGTAAATAACTGCACATGACGCGATTCACGTGTTTTGTGGTTTCGGGATAATTCCACCACATCATCAGCCTGAGTTTCGCTCTAGCAAATACTCGAGCGATGTATATTTGGAACTTTTAGAAAGTTGTTACTTCTCATGAAACTCTAGTCCAACAACCAATCACCATAATCTGAAGTGTTACTTTTGTAGTGAGCTAGTCAAGATACCAGATTGACCATGCTCACCACTAAATGTTCCATACGGTCGCGTCACGAATATCAAAACAAATCCATGGTCCAATGTTTTATTTAAGGAGACAGTAGGCATTACATCGGGAACAGCAAGTAGAGAAAAATGGCAGCAACGCGAAGAGAACGTTGCGCGCAAGAAGTGAAAGAAGTGTTTTTTGGTACAGTTAAACAAAACGAGTACAATAATGTTTATTTTTAACAAATCGTATTTTCTTCGTAGAAGCGTTCCACTACACTTTTCAGCGATAAAGGATGCTTTTAAACTTGCATAAGATTATAGATCTGATACACTAAATGATTATACACTGGTAATCAATATCTTACTTATTTGTCACTGATAATCAAGTTCTATGCTATGAATTTATGTTCATTAAAACCATAGTGAAGATTATGACCAATACTACTTGTAGTCCATCTGTTTCAGTTTCTCAAAACTACTCTATATGACCCCTAGTTTAGACTCTCGAAAATCAGGAGACGTCAATTATAATTGTATTTTATGATCAATTTTTGCACAGAATCTATAGTTTCTTATCATGTTAAAACAAACGTTTATCTTTTCAATACTAAAAAAATGTTACTAGAATTAACAAAAATATTGTGGGGATTCCCCAATTAATTCTCTAGAGAACAATCACTAGTTTTTCATTATTCTAAAAGACTCTAGAATTTCCGTTTAAAATTTTGTAATGTAGTACTGGTCGTTTGCACCAGTCACTCCTCAATGATTAATGTACTGTTAACTTCATAGTACGGGCCTTAGCTTAATCAAACAGTTTTGCTCATTCACAATGATTTTCGAATTTTCTGTGATGCCTAAGACTAGAATAGAATTTCCTTTTCTAATTTGCGTTTTCATACTTACTTAGGCACATCATTGTCATTTGAATTATTTCATGTGAAAATATTTAACTATTATTCTTTTCTTTTTATTTATAAAATATCGATAAAAACAGTGAAATAGCTAATTCTATAGTTTGTGGAAACGATGTGAAATTAGAGCGTTTAATTGTAATCTCACAAGAAATAGCTGCTGGTACAACTCAATTGGTTTATGCAACTCGTGTAAAAACTACTTCACCATCTGAAATGTTCAATAAATTACAATTAACTAGTAAAGAAGTATGTAAATGTGCTGGGAATTTGATTGCATGTGTAAAAATAGCAATGGAAGCAAAGGATATAGAAGGTAAAATTTGTTAAATATTTTTCCAAAATTTCGTTTATTTTATTGTATTATTAGCAATAATCATATAGATGTTGGAGATTACATAGCAACTTCGTTCATTTGTTAATATATATAGTCCTTTTGGAGGAAAAACAACTGAGAATTGAAGCATAGTTTGAGGAATTTCAGGGCTAAACTAAACCAGTAAACCACTAATAAATTCTAGACATCTATCGTTTGGATACATTATCATAGCTCTTGCAATTGTCTCATTCTTATTGATGAATAATTACAATCTTTTTGATTTAAATTTAAATGAACTATACGACAGTATGTAGGTTATGTTAAAGTGACCTCAATCTACTGCTTAGATGTTTACATAAAGCATATGTGGGGATGTTTGTGGAGTCCATTCTAGATCTTAAAGGGATTCCAGGCTTGTGAATTTTAAATAGCCCATAAAAACGTACAGTGATGTTAGATTTGAAATCTAAGCTTAACTATGATGAGATGCGAATAACGTTTTGTAACCATTGGAAGATTTTTTGAACCGCTCTTCAGTTGCTTGAGATTCTTAACCGACGTTGTATTACTTCTGTCAGCCTTGGTAACGACAATCGTTCCATATTTTTGTAAGAACCGTAAAATTCTTCATTCTTCTTTCAACACGTTACTTGTATCATATATTTGGTTCCTTTAAATGTGAGGTTTCTTTCGACGCAATATATGCTACTACTTATCTAAAAGTTTTTCGAGTATCGGTCCTAGAATTGAGCTCATTTGTAGAGAACTAAAAGGTTTTCTTGTTCTAGTAGAGCGATTTCAGCAGCAGTAAGAGGCCACTTTGAAAGATCATGAACCACCTTGAGAACAGTAAGAGTAGATCTCCTTCGTGACGATTCCTTTTCTTTTCTTCTTTTTGACTTTCTTCAAATTTCCTCAATTGTCTCGGTTTTGAAGCATTACGATGATGAATCTCTCTTTGGTTGTAAAAAGTCGAGGATGGAAGTAAATGATTCAATGGGTAATACAACAGTGACTAGCCCATCTACATTGTTGATGCATCCACGATATTTTTCTAAAGTGAATGTACATTTGTGAATTCGTTCGTGTTGTAAGATACCTAATGTACAATGAGAAATATCAATAGCGCGCCACGAACCTTCTAGTCGCTTAACAATCAGAGACTTGGAAATCATGTTATTCTTTAAAAAAATGTTTATTATATATCCGATGATTGTATAAAATACATTTGCAGATGGATAATTTGATTGGATTAATAATGAGTTTGTAGGTATCAATACCAAAGTTAGATTTGATAATTTCAAATAAATTGAGTATTGAATGAAAAGTTAATCATAAAAAAATTACCGTAAATTTTTCTTTTCGCTGATTTTCTGATCAGTAGAGATTTGTATTTCTGACATTTTGTGACTTAATGCGAGTCACTTGGCAGCAAAGACACAATACATTTACATCCACACAAAAATGTATCTACAAACTAGGTCGGGTCGATTTTGATGTGTTCTGTATTGGAGAGTCTTCTCATGAAATCTTGAGTTGTGTCAAAGAGCACTTAGGTTGCACAACAGTACTTTCTGATAATCCAGAAGAGTTGGAAAATTTACAAATGAAATCGACAATAGCAGTGAATGCTATATTCAATCACCACCAAATCGATATTAGAAACATCAAAATAATGCGAGAAGGTTTTCCCAACTACTCGGAGAGACGAGTAGCTGAAGCATTTCATATGATGCTTAATCCCACTGTCTTCAATAGGAAAGAAGTTCTGACTATTCATCCAACCTACACAGTTTATCTCAATAACCACATTTGACTCAATTCATTATCTACACAATTCTACACAGACACTGACACAATTTCGTATTATTTTTAACTCCACTACTTCATATCACAAATTACATATTCTTTCTTACCCCTGCTTCACATACATAAATAACACTTGAACGTCTCCAACAGAATCAATCACCTCGACCGCAAAATCACATGACATTGACATGTTCAGAGTCATTATGATTTTGATTGCACTGAAGAAGTTACTTGCATTAATTTGCGGAATGTCAGAAATACGAATTTCTACTCATCGGGATATGAAATAAAAAGATTGTGATGATTTTATTATTACAAGCAACCGTTATATGATGAATTTTCTATTTCGTACGATTTCAAAATTTGTCGTAAGTACGCACTATCAGGAAATTATTCTGATAAAATGTAAAAATGGCACGTTTTGATGATAATATTTTAAAGTATTATATGAAAACATGTTGGTAAGCATTGACTAATTTTTTAAACCATATATGATTATCTAACATTAGCTCTGATGACTAAACGACTTCTTCGGTTCCAGCATCCATGACGGTTTGCTAGTTGTAATGGTGATTACAGTTCTCGACCTCATTCAATAGTTTACTGTCAATTAGGATAGTGGACATTCTGTTGAAAGTCTTTTTCATATTAAACGTAGTTTTCTTCTTAGACATTCATGTAAATTTTTTTTATCTGTTAAAAACACTTATAGAACTCGATTTTAGTAGTCTTACATTAACTCAAGCTAAACGAAAGCAAGTTGAACTACAAGTGAAAATTATTGAATTAGAAACCTCATTAACCAATGAACGACAACGATTAGCTCAATTAAGAAGAGATAATTATCAATTATCAGCTGAAGTAGAGGTAAACTGTTCATTTGTCATATCATTTTAATAATTATTAAATATGAATAAATTTAAAATGTAATTCAAAATACAAATGAAGAGTATAGTTTTAAAGCATGGAATTATCATAAGAACCTCGTCACATTAGTAATTTACTCATTTTTGAAACCATGAATCGATCAATGTTAGACCACCATTAGAAACCTGGGAGCACTGGACGGCCGTTTCGTCCTGGTATGGGACTCCTCGTGTGGTCTAACATTGATCGATTCATGGTTTCAAAAATGTGTAACTTAACAATCTTCACAACCCCGTAATGCAAATTACCTGTGCTCACTAGTGACTAGCTACGTGAGGAATCTTCTCCGAGTTCTAGTGGGAAGACGTGACCAGTGAAGTTCAACCTGTTCGGGTGTAGATAGTGTCTACCGAAAACTGTGTATGAGGTTGCGCAACTCCGTGAATTGATCAGGTTAGACATTAACACCGTTAGATACGACTCCATAAGGAAATGAAATCAACGTATTCCTACCAATATAGAGTTGTGAGGATTGTTCAGTTTCATTACAATCATGAACCTATCAATGCAAGACCATCATCAGGACCTTAAATTACTGGATGGCCGTTTCGTCCTCGTATCGTACTCCTCAGTAGCGCACATCACGACCCCGCACACAGAGACCGAACCCAAGCCTAATCATATTGGATTATATCATTCTGAGTAGCATGTAACACTCTTAGCTCATATAGGTACGGTTTGAAGATAAGTCAATTTTACTTTTTGGCACACATTCATTAAAGATAGCTTATTCCATCAATAACAATATATTTATCTAGTAATTTTAGGATTGCAATACCTTGACCTACAAGGGATACAAGTCGTTATAATTCTAACTAGAGTGTGATTATTATACACAAATACTTCATCTCGTTTTTGTTCAATAAATTTAATTTAACTTAATGCACGTCCAAAATTTATCTGTCTGTCGACTCATCAATCTACTCACGTAACAGGATTTCTAGCCTGCAGTAAATGTGAATGACTAGTTTATTTCTTGAAAATTGAATTTGATTGTTATTACCTTGCGAACTTAGGTAAATAAAATTTATTATTCAACAGTATTAGAAGGATTATATACGACAACAAATTGCTTGTAGTGTAATCTACTTGATTATAACTTCATTGAAAAGAGAGATGCATCATTTTCCCGTCTGAGAGTGTGAACGTTGATCCCATTATCAACATTCATGATTGTTTGATGTGATGAGTAATTCGTGAAAAAAACTAGCAAGTAATACACTTTATTTCCCAGGCCTTCGTCGGCGTATATGTTTAATCCTTTTTAATATTAGAACAGAAACCCTCAGTCCTTAGAGAAGTCTCAGAAAGTTCTCTAAGGCAGCCCAGTTTCAAATATCTTTTTTCAGGATTATAACCTTAGCCATAAAGTAATGTGTTTATGAGAATGTCTTGTCAACATGTGTGTATGCATCAACCCTTTTGCAAATAACTGCACATAATACTTTCAACCTTTTTTTCATTTTGTTCTGTCCAAATACATTCTTTACATGGGTACGCGTATCTGCCACTAGCAGTTGGTCAACGATAGATCTTGAAAAACTTCCACTGAAGATTCAACGAGTAGAGCGATCTACAAATTTCAAATCTGCCTTCCGTATAACATGTAAATAAATGTATTTCAAAAGCTTATCTATCTACTTTATTATCATTAAAATTCCCCCTACAACTGCTACCACCAATTCACTAATCAATGAATATATACATACACTGTTATACGCACCAAAGTCTTTCATTATTGTTATGTGCTTGTATCAACAACATAACGAAGAGTGATGAAAAAACTTATACATAACTTTACATTTGATGCTAATCATTTTTCTTTTTACATTACCTCACATTGATTATTCAGTGATAAAATAGCTTTCGTTTTTCCTACACAGTGGAACACCGCTTTTTCCTTTGTTTCGTTTTTGAACTAGAAAAATGGAGCGAAGGAATGATCTCCTTCTTTTTCTTACTTGTTCGGTCATATTTTCTGTTCTCCCATTCCTTAAGCTTATTTAGAACTATTGACTTTTCACCAATTATAACAATTCGTAAGAGACTGCTGAACTTTCCCGGTTATTTTACAATATATGTTGTGTTTTTATCAATTCGTAACGTGTGTGGATCGGAAGCATCATTATTGACTTCTTTCTGATGTAGTACACGATTTATTGTTACTATTATGTTAAATGATAACATAATTGTACTGACTAAATCATTTTCATAGCACAGCTCACATATTCCTTCAATTATCTACATAAATATTTCAATGATTGACATTTGTGATTGCAAAATATATTTTCCAGGATGTTCTAGATACTTTTCTTCCTGGTGTTATAACTGGATATCGATTTCAAAACAAGGATGAATTTTGTTGTGGTTTATGACTATTAAAGTGGCAGCTGCCATGCCAGTAAACGTCGTTATGGCCGGTAAAACGGAGACAGAAATGTTGACGGATTCTAATTATATGTTAGATTTCGTACCTTAGTTTTTAAAGCGCTTGTTCTCTAACCTATGTAGGTTCCTAGTACTAACTGTACTCATCATCAACCTCATCGGACAACTAGACAATCAGCGCCAGTTCTTTCCTAACAAATAGAACGATTTGCTCTTGTCACCAGTTTTCCGCTTTTTTCCAGCCATATAAAATAGCTTTTTAATTTTCCAGATAAAAGAGCATTTTTAGCGCGAAATTAGGTTGGATTTCGATAATTAATACCTAGTAAGTCGAAACTTTGATTAGACATCGACGAAGTAGTGAAGAAACTTGACCATCTATCTATTAAACCAGATGATTAACTCTCAGGTGGTAGGGAAAGTCTTATTATGTTAACTAACAAACAACTTAATTACATCACGGTATGTGATATTTAAATCATCAGTAATTGGTAAACTTCAATTTGAACAATATATTGGAAATAACTCCCTTATGCAAAGGAATATGGATATCTGGGATACTGACCCACTCAGATAAAGTACTTGTCTGACCGATCAATTAGGAAGTAGATATGGATGAACCAGGATTAAAGGCTGTTCAGCCTTAACCGTTAGTATTTTTGAAATACAAATGTGCATGGCCCCATATTTATTTTTTTTAAATATTAAACTGAACACTACATTTTTATTACTGATTCGAAGAATTCAAATTATCCATGGACTGCATTGTTCAAAAACAAGGCTTATTCGTTCCCAGGATCTAGCGTTATAAAAAATATCAAGTGTGTAGGAGACCACGGTAGACGAATATGTTTTCATTGAACATCAGTCAAAGATCACGACAAGATATTATAAAACTTCAGGAAAGCATTCGAATTATTCATTAGTCAGCAAAACTAGAGGTAATGATCTACTTAATAGAAATACTAGTTCAATGGACCGTATCAGTCCTTGTTTTAGTTAAGCAATGTAGGTAACAGGACGTGCTTGTGTAATATAGCAAGCATCACAGCATTATTTTGCTAAACCATGTTATAAGACGAAAATAAACACTGAGAAGTGTGTGAGTTGCGTGCACTTACTGGTGTACAAATTTGCATACGTTAGTATTGAACTGAACGCTAGAGTAAAGGCGACCTGGAATAAAAGTACTTTCAACCCGTTCTCACCTAGTTCTCTCGATATTGTGAACGAGGTTTAGTCCTACGAATAGCCTCAACCGTTGTTGTTTCAAAGAAAATACCACTTAACTTTAGTAATGGGATATGCATGCAAATGAAAGAAATTTTATTGGCCAAACTGCACTCAGTTGGACGCTAGATGGGAAGGTCCAGTTTTGGAGTCTACACAATTCTAGTCCCAGCCAAGAGGAAAAACCGACAGGCCGTTGTTTTGATGCCCTCCCGCGACTGAAACCTAAATTTAAGTTATACTGAAACCAGACACTAAAGTGAATACATACATGACCGATGTCCCTGTCACAACATAGCCTTGTTCAATGGGCATCCTAAGTACAACTAGATTCACAAAAAAAAAAAAAAAACGAAAAAAACAAAGCTTATAAGCGCATGTTGGCTGAAGAATTTCTACCATCTGAAATTTGAAAAGCTTGAAGTCGGAGGGCTAGTCTCATCTAAACGTATTACACCACCAGGGTCATGATACATCACTGCTACCCAAACTAAAAGAAATAGTGTAGTCAGTCAATATGAACTAGAATGTAGACGGTCTAAAAGAAATTCAGCTGGATTTATAACACAGAAAACTCAGTAATGCTATTTCTTTTCCTTACCGTTTGGGTCCGGTTAAGACCACACCTTGAAGGCTTGAATTACGTGTAGATTTCTTTTTTACCTCACAATCCATTGTGTCATTAATCAGATCATATAGGGAGCTTGTCGGTGTGACATATATGATTTGTTTTTCACTTGTGAATATTTTACATAGAAGTAGCAAACGAGCAGTTTCTGTAATGCCTCATACATGATTATGTTAACTGCGTGTCTATTTGTACATCTTCTCGCAATTTTTTGCTTGTAGATACGGTATTGTATAGAGGGCATGCGCATGTGGTACGGGCCACTATAATCTGGGGCTGTGTTAAGCCTAATATCTGATAAATTATTAAGCACAAAAGCAATCAAGGCGAGAGGCATTGCATCAGGATATAAGCGAGTCTATTATAAGCGTAACTTGCAATTAAATTTTTTTTATACTTAAATGGCACAAGAGAGATATCCTTAACCTCATGGAAGGCGTAATAGTCACATGAAATTTGCAAGCTGAGCAGATTATCAAACAAAATAAGAAAACGACTTCGCAATGGTGTATCACCATAAACAATATAATACAAAGTATGGAAAGATTGAAATGCGTTTAGTCTTTTCGTATCTCTTTGGCGATGGTAAGGTATCACGAGGCGATTACTGGATGTCTGTTCCTGAGGTAC